AAAATGTTTAAATATCCCAAGTGACTACCGTGGCTCAACTATATGTTTATCAAGCGACGCGAATACTTTTTGTGCGAAAAAACAAACAAAAATAACGAGTTTATTCGACTATTTCTTTTCTTCCTTGTAGGCCAGAACGAGACTTCCTTATAGATTTCCACGACGCATGCGCGAGAATTGCGATCTAATCTGGTGTAAGCAGATCGCAAATCTCGCGCATGCGTCGTGGAAATCTAAGAAATTCTCGTTCTGGCCTACAAGGAAGAAAAGAAATAGTCGAATAAACTCGTTATTTTTGTTTGTTTTTTCGCACAAAAAGTATTCACGTCGCTTGATAAACATATAGTTGAGCCACGGTAGTCACTTGGGATATTTAAACATTTTCTTCATTGACTTTCTGGGCCGTCAAGAGGCAGTCCCTTAGGAGCCAATGTGGTAGTTATACAGCTCTCAAATTTAATCAAAAATATCTTCATTTGTGTTCCGAAGACGAACGAAGGTCTTACGGGGTTGGTACAGCATGGGGGTGAGTAATTAATGACTTAATTTTCATTTTTGGGTGAACTAACCCTTTAATTAATCATAATAATTCATTACATTTATATAGCGCTTTTTTCAGCACTCAAAGCGCTTTACATAGAGAGGGGAATCTCCTCAACCACCACTAGTGTGCAGCATCCACTTGGATGATGCGACGGCAGCCATATTGTGCCAGAACGCTCACCACACACCAGCTTACTAGTGGAGAGGAGACAGAGTGATGAAGCCAATTGGTGTATGTATATATATATATATATATATATATATATAGATTATTAGGAGGCCATGATGGATAAAGGCCACTGGGCAAATTTGATTTGGCCAGGATGCCGGGGTTACATCCCTACTCTTTCGAAAGACATCCTGGGATTTTTAATGACCACAGAGAGTCAGGGCCTCGGTTAAACGTCTCATCACGACAGTATAGTGTCCCCATCACTTTACTGGGGTGTTAGGACCCACACAGACCACAGGGTGAGTGCCCCTTGCTGGCCTCACGAACACCTCTTCCAGCAGCAACCTGGCTTTCTCAGAAGGTCTCCCATCCAGGTACTAACCAAGCTCAGCCCTGCTTAACTTCAGTGGGCAACCAGTCTTGGGCTACAGGGTGATATGGCTGCTGGCTATATCACGTATAGTCTTTACAGAGATGAAAACTGTCCACATGTGGTCTTCAGAGAGGAAAGGAGAGAGTCGAAACATTGTTTCATCTCATAAGCCATGATGCTTCAAAAACAATCTACCCCTTTGCCTCAAAACTATACAGATGTCTTCACTGTCAACTACAACATTAAGACCTCATCTGTACCATCATCCCATGTTAAGTCCTTGAGCAGGCACAATGCTGGGTATATTAAGCAGGAGTTTGAATGGACAGAATATGTCAGATCAACAAGTGACAAAGCTGGAGATCTCAGTGATTTGTCACGGGCTGCATACCATGCAACTCAGCAGTCACTGGACATTGATGCCACCTGCATTACATCATGCACACAGTTGCAATGATCAGGCACTCAATAGATGTCATCAGAAATGCAATTAATCATTTGCATCCAGAGCAAACCCCTGTGAACCCCTTTGACCAGCCACTATTTGCCTTGGCCAAGCAAATACAGTGGAAGTGGCCAAATAGATATGGTGAAATTGTGATTCTTTTTGGGGGTCTCCACATTGAGATGGCATTCTTGAGGACCAAGGAAGTGGTTGGGTAGAGGCTCTTGTTCAAGCAGACAATACCACAACAGGCACAGCTGACTCTTTCTTAAAAGTGGCCCATGTTGCTCATATAGAGAAGTAACAGAGGCTGCATTGTACAATTTGCAACGTGCTGCATATGATAATTACATGACTATGCATTCCTCCACTGATGTGCTGAGCTTTGATGAATGGTGCAAGAGGCAAAAAGATAAAAGATCAGCTCTTAATCACTTGTCACTGAGACCCCATTTACACCTGGTATTAAAATGCGATCTGTATCCAGATAAGTTATCCGGATAATAAAAAACGCATGTTAATGCAAGGTGTAAATGCGTTGTGATCGGATCGTGATCGGATCTGCCTGACCACATCTGGAGGTAGTCTGGCTCGCATTGTGTCCGGATCTTTACTAGGTGTAAACGCAATCTGGTTGTTGAAACCACATATGTATATTTTACTCCTCCCAAAAATGCTAAAAAAAAAATAAGCAAGTGAGAGCGTGTTATATAGGCTATATGTCATGTTATAGCCTAGTCAGATGCGATACGCGACACGCATCACCGCAGATGAGCAGCTGAGCGTCTATTCAACGTGCAAACATCGCAAATAAAAGTGAAAGTAAGTCACAGACGCAGTTAACACATCTTCAAGTAAAGAAACGAAATTATCTTACCAGCGCTGTTGCCACTCTCTCTTATTGATGTCTCTGATTTGGAAATTAGCTGATGATCAATAAAATGCCGCTCAGATCTGTTGCTTTTGGTGGCGTGCAATCCATTAAATCTGCATATAACGCAGGAGGTGAAGATCGGATTTATATCCGTTTTGCAATTTATGTGGCCAGGTGTAAATGGAATCGGTACTTATTATCCGGATAACTTATCTGGATACAGATCGCATTTTAATACCAGGTGTAAATGGGGTCTATGATGTCTAATTTTGATCACATAACATGAATTTACAGATAATTCATGAACCCATGTATAGTAATATTTAGTATTACAGGAGCAAATTTTCAAACATATCTTATATTTTAAAGTTTAAAGATCTTCTATGTGAAAGTGTGCTCATATTTACATGTATTTATGGTGAAATGTGTTATTTTATTTTATGTTTCTGGCAGCTTTTAATCCATTTTCCCATTACGAAATCCATATTTGGCGGCCATTTTGAAAAATGCCCGCCATGACCCCCAGGGGTCAAATTTCAAGCACCTACGGTCCTAAATCTGATCAGACCCCCTTTGTGAGCCTTCCTACCAAATTTGATGCTTTTATCGCAAAGTGATCAATTTTTGCACTTAACTGCCCCACTACTACTCCTAATTGTGTTGTTAAAACTACGTGTCAAACATTTTTACCGAATGCTGCCTGCTGGGTGCATATCAAAAATCAACATAGTATAATTTCTGTCATATTTCACATATTTCACATATTCAAAGTGATCTAACAAGTGTTTGTTGTGTCGTATCACCCTCACCTTGGGTTTTCATGGGTATTGACTATGAATGAGTTGCTTTCTAAGAATTGTGTTTTAGCGACTATCTCTTGCATATTTAATGTGTTGGAAGACAGTAGGAAGCCATATAATAATTATTTATGCAGTTACAGCTTTTTACTCTGAAGTGTGATTTCCACTTGTGCAACTGAAAAAAAAAAAAGATTTTTGTGCTGCTTGTTCAAATTGCTTTCTCAAAATGAGCTTAAGCAACACAATTGTTATTCATTTTTTTCCAAACTTAATTAGATTGTGTTCAATCTGCTTAAATATATGTTAAATTTAAGTGTACTTAATCCGTTTGTGTTGGATTATGAATTATTTGTGCATTAACTGTAACTGGGCGGTGCTTGTTAGTTCCCAGCATGCTTTGCATATTTTGAAATATAAACATAAATCTTGAAATGAAGTGTTATTTTAATGTGTTTTTGAGAAAATGAGAAAATTATCTATTATCTAAAACTGATATTATAATCTGATATATTGGCTAACTGATATATTGGCTATTATCTAAAACTGATTAGTGTGACCCTAAAGTAAACTATATTGCATTGGATGAATGGATATATGAAATCAGTTGGTCCGAAACATTGCAAACTAGTTGAGCTGACACTATCTGTGCTGTGCCCAACCATAGTAAATAAGTTGAATCAACCTTAATAAATTAAGTTGACCCAACGCAAGTACATTCATGAACTGACCTACACTACTGGTCAAGCACTGTAAAAAATATTTTCAAGATTTGTTATCACAACAAATTTTCTTTTGTCAAATCAACTTTATAATAATTTATTTAGTTGAGATAACTTATTATTTTGAGTTTCTGATGGTTAAATGAATCTCCTTCATTGTATTAACTCACTTTTTTCAGTTCAATCAACTTAAATTTTTAAGGCAACCCAGGTTACTTACTTTTTTAAGTTAAACCAACAATATTTTTTTACAGTGTAGTAAACACAACATTTTTTCTTTTGTCAAATCAACTTAAATAATTTATTTAGTTCAGATAACATATCATTGTGAGTTTCTGATGGTTAAATTAATCTCCTTCATTGTATTAACTCACTTTTTCCAGTTCAATAAACTTAAAATTTTAAGGCAACCAGATTACTTACTTTTTTTAAGTTAAACATTCAACAGTGCATTTACAGTGCATTATTTAACATAATGCTTTAACTAACATCTATCAATAAGCAGTTTTAATATATTTGTTAACATTTAGTTCATATAAAATATAATTGTTCAATTATTCATGTTTGCTCAGGTCCATTAATAATATCCAACTTTTGATTGGTAAATGTTGAAATTTACATTAAGATTTGTATTTGCTTAAAAAGTATTTTTCATTGTTAAATCATCGTTAACTAATGCATTAAACTAAAATGTTATTAAAAGGGTGATTTTTTTTACTATTATTTGATATTTTTGAACATCTTTTCTGCTCAAGGCTGCATTTAAAATAGCCTGTAAAAAACAGTAATATTATTACAAATTAAAATAACTGTTTTATATTTTGGGGAAAAAAAAAAAAAAAAAAATATATATATATATATATATATATATATATATATATATATATATTTCAGAAATCACTATATATTTCAGATTATTTGCTGCTTTATAATTATGATCTAAAAGTATTTAAGTATTCATTTCTTTTTCTTTTTCCCAAACTTTTGTGCATTTAAAAATTTAATCAATAGAATATATTAGTGGATACATGAATGAAAACCCAACGTGTGTGTATTAAATGAAAACTTAAAGAGTGCAGTTGTTAATCACAATTATTTTTATTTCAACATGAACAATGGCATAATACATTAAAAATAGGCTATTTATAAAATTCTAACAAAGCATCAGTTGTTACCCTAAAGTCACCTTTATTTATATAGCGCTTCATACAATACAGATAGTTTCAAAGCTGCTTTACAGTGACAACAGGAAAATAATGCATTTAAAGTCAGTCCAGAGTTGATTCAATTCTGTTGTAAAGATCATCAATGTCATCATCCAGACCAGTTCAGTTCTCATCCAATAGTGCCACAACAGTCAGATCAATAATATTGTTGAATATTAAAAGAATCATGAAGAGTGTTCAGGCTTCATTCCTCACCCGACCAGCTGACGTCCACACGTCGGGTCAGAACTGACTTCATTTTAGAGTTGAAGTTACGAATCAGTGACTGATGATGATGAAGTGTTTTATTTTCGGAAGCTTAAGAGGGTGACGGGACGGTTGCGGAACTTCAGCTCTCGTCTTATCTGACAATAAGAGCACGGCCCGCAGCAGAACGACAACACACAGTCGTTGCAAATAGAGTCCTGAGGGAGAGAGAGACATATGAGTTCACGTCTAACATCTAAGAATATTCTACAAAGTTAAAAGGGATCAGTTGATTTAACTTAAAAAAGCGAGGAAACACGTTGTCTTAAAGCAACACTACACTCTTAGAAGAAAAGGTTCTATATAGAACCTTAAAAGGTTTTATCCGCACTACGTATTTGGAACCCCTAAAAGGTTCTATAGACTCTTAAAAAAGGGTTCCTCTGGGTTCTATATAGAACTCTGGGGTTCCATACTTGGCCAATAGAAACTTTTACCAAAAAAAAAAATGGTTCTATATAGAACCATTTTGGAGTTCCATATATGAAGCGGGGGATGGAACCATTTCTGGTTCTAAATAGAACCATTTCTTCGAAGAGTGTATGTAACTTTTTTTATCTTAAAATAATGTTTCCAAAATCATATCAGTGGTTCATCAAGGGTGAAAAGTACGTCTGCCTCAGCCTGGATCTGTTTCGATATTATTGGCACTACTCCAGGGTTCGGGTAGTAACCCGACCACAAAATGAACTACAAAATTCGTCTGTTTTACGTCAAGCGCTACAGTAGTCATTATTTAGTTTTTCTTCGTTACTGATGTCACAATACATCATCCTTTCATGAAATCATGTAACATACTCCACCTTGGACATCGTCGATAAACAGCGATCGTGCGTGCAATGGTAGGCTGCGGTCGGCTAAATTATTAACGACAGTCACAACGATAATGGACAATTTCATTTCCAACCAGTAGGGCAACCGCAGAGGACAAGTTACTTGGTGTTGCTTTAAGATTATTAAGTAAATAAACTGTCATAATCATTTAACAAACATGTATTCATGTCTGCATTGAATTATTACATTGTTTAAATTAACCTTTTTCGTGAAGTATTATTTTGTATATGTAAGCCACCCCCTAAACAATGCTGGGTTGTTTTAACCTAAATTTGGGTAAAATATGGACAAACCCAAATGTTGGGTTAAAAATGCAATTTAAAAAAATACAGTTGAACGTGAATGTTGTAGTTGGGTTTACATTTTTAACCCAACATTTGGGTTTGTCCATATTTGACCCAAATTTTCGGTTGAAACAACCCAGCAATTTTTAGAGTGTACATTTCTGAAATACATAACTTAGACAGTTTCCTCTGATAACAGATCACTCTAAATTGTAATGTGCATTTTCTGTAAAGCTGCTGTATTTTGAAAAGCTCTATCACAAATAATTGTGAATTGAATGTGTAATTGAAAAAACTAAGTTATATGAACTTGACCATTCACACTCTAAAAAATGCTGGGTTGTTTTAACCCAATTTTAGGTCAAATATGGACAAACTCAAACATTGGGTTAAAAATGAAATTTTAAAATGCAACCCAATGGCTGGGTTTGTCCATATTTGGCCCAAAATTGGGTTAAAACAACCCAGCATTTTTTAGAGTGTGTACATAACATATTTTTTTCACTTACGCATGAGGTTTACAACGTTTAGCCGACTTAATAATTTTAAAGCAAGGGGTTTCCTCATTTTTTTAAGTTAATTCAATTGTCTTAAATGAATGCAACTAGTTGCGTTTTTTTGCAGTGAATCCCAGGACAGTCTTTACCTCAATGCCATACGTGCGTCGGACAGACACTCTCATTGCCATAGTGATGGGTGGGATGAGGCCGAAACTGTCCAGCAGGGGCAAGCAGAGACACTCTCCGTGATCTCGAGCTGTGATGCAGGCGAAACATGGGCAGCACCAGAACGCAAAGCAACCTGCCCAACGAAGATGGGGAAAATCAGGCACCACACAAAGTCAAAGACAATCAAATGTCCAACTATCCGTTGGGATTTCAATGAAAATGCACTCACAGTCTGGGAGTGTGTCGCATTCGCAGAGGCTGGTGGACCACTGGTCAGACCCCGGAGCCAAAACCAGGGGCTTCGGCTGCTGAATCACCATCTTAGTTGCCATGATGACTCGAGCTCTGAAAGACAGCACTGGTTATGACGGGGATGAAGAACGAGTGTCGATGAGAATCCGAGTTTTCAGACTTTATAGATCCAGCAGTGAGCAAACACATGCGTAGACACACGAGATTAGCATCACCTCACGTCTCCACGGGGCAGGTTTGTCCGGTATGCTTTTCTTTTTATTGATAGATTTCAGGTGATTACCAGTTCTGCCGACGTGACACTAAATCACTCGTCTCATCGAGAACCTGGTTTCACTCGGTGCAACATCTTTGTTGATCAACAACATTCCAGTCAACTGATCTGATCTGAGGGACAATTTCATGTCAAGTTTAGGCTTATAACCAGGAGCTTCTAAATCAGTGTTATTTGCCTGTTCATCATTTCTCTCTGATTTTATGGATAACTCATGGTTGAGATTAAATTTTCAGGGAGGAATTTTGGCCCAGGCTAACCCAGGGTTAGTGATGACAAAACCAGGACATGCGTGCACTGATTCTGCGAACTATCTGAGAGAAAGAAAAGGAAGAATGTAAAGAAAGCACTCAAGCCCAATATTTCATCATAAAGCAGCAACAAAGGGCCTTTTATTAGCCTTCACGCGTCATAGCTTGGTACGTGTGCCGTGAAGGATGCATTATGGGATGTTGAACTGTTTTTTTTTTTACATTAATATTATTATGTATCATTGTTCCCAGGTTTCTTCCTATAACTACTAATGCTAACCACCTTTGCAAGACACTTCTTTACATTTGGTAAAAATCCAGCTTTTAATGTTGTTTATGTGGTGTTTTTCATATGTTTTAAGACAAATCTTGTGTAAACTCAAGTCGACAGCATTGCTGAGTATTTTCTGCTTAAAACTGCAGTGAACCAAAGACAACGACAGTCTCAAAAACACGCTTTGAAATCGCTGGTGTTTCTGACGTCACACACTACCTTTTAACCAACCAATCAAATCAATGTGTGATCGTCAACCAATGGATCTCTGAGAGAGTACGTGAGTGGAGGAGGGGCTCATTTGCATATTCGTCGAACCGAGTATCCTAATGAGGCAAGGGTGAGGAGTTACATTCAAACTTTTATGGGATGAAGACATTTTTTTTTTCAAGAAAAAAAACGTTTAATGTGTTGTTTTGGTGATCGAAGATGAGTATAAATAGAAAGATATTTTTTTCCACACCCCCTTATTTAATCCTTGTCTATTCCTTGTTTGGCTGATTGAGTTCACCTCCTCCTCAAGTGCTCTGATCCTGTTATGTTGTGCTCCTTTCCCTGGTCTTTGCTGGTTTCTTGCATTCCTTGCTTGTGTCAATGGGTTCTGTTAGCGTTCACAACGTTGAGGGTAGATTTTTTTTTTTGTTTTTTTGTTTTTTGCGTATATAGATGACAACATTGTCAGAATGATCCCCCGTTTACACGGATCTGCAAAAATGCAAGCTTTAGCCAGTAGTTTGTAAAGAAACATTATGCTCTATAGACATACACTGAAAAAAATAATATGCTTTATCTAATCAATAAAATTGTGGCAACATATTAAAAGCAATATTATTAATTAAATTGTACAAATTAGAATTAATTAGAATGTTAATTTGATTAACTATTACTCAATTCTAATTTGTTCAATTTAATAAATAATATTGCATGTAATCTGTTGCCACCATTTTATTGATTAGATAAAGCATACTCATTTTTTTACAGTGTATGTGTAGTATAACCATGTTTGGAAACCTGGTTTTAAAAGTTTGTGTATTCAGACCCCCAAAATGCAGTCCAGTAAATTGGGAAATTTCATCAAGGTGCTCTGGATTTGATTTTATCTGAACAGAAAGCAGTGCACATGAATAGCCTGTTATTATGATTTGCAAGTTAGCAGATGCTTTTTATCCAAATTTACACTTCTATTTACTGTAACTTAAAGTACTCACTGAAAGACACAGAGATGTACTCTGGCAGTCGATGTCGGGCCAATCTTTACATAATCAGCATATGAAGAGGATTTCATAAATTGCTTAACCAGTGAATTTCATTACAATTAAAGCCCTGCATCCAAATAAAGATTGTGACATTTATCTCACCTCATTGCACCTACTTTCAACGCACAAACTGTAATACAATAGGGCAACCACGTTGCATTTCTTGTCCATTTTTCCAATATCTATTGATCTCGCATACTTATCATTTTTCTCATTATTTCCATGGTCTGATGAAAGCATAACTAGAAAGTTGTTCTTTGATAAGCATCCTTTATGTGCGTATGCTTGTATAGAGTGAGAATCTACGTAGACATTCCCGACATCCTCCCTCCCCCTGAATAAATGACAGCATCGCCCTCTCAAGGTGTCAGTCTTCTGCTGAACTTTCCTCTGTCCCAGGTAAGACCGAATCTGCTGCTGGAGCAACTGTTGAGCCAAGTGTTGTTGTTGTTGTTGTTGTTTTTAGAATTTGGAATTTCCTTTATGGAAGCAACAAAGTAACACATTTTAGACTTTTGAAGTCACCTGTTTATTAATTGCAAAAATTCTGCTTTAGATTCTTTAGTTTTGTTTTGTTTTTTTCAAAGTTTTTGGATTTGAGACTCATTCATCATGGCAAGCAAGATGGTGATTCAACAACCCAAGCCACTAGTAGTGTCTGCAGCATCCGACCAGTGGACCACCAGCATCTGCGAATGCGACAACGTCAATGAATGTGAGTGTGTGTGTGTGTGTGTGTGTGTGTGTGTGTGTGTAAAACATAGTGAATTAAGGTTTCTAAGAAAAAAAGTGCTCTAGAAACTCTCTGATGTTTTCAGCAGGTGAGCAGTCGGATTGTTTAGGCAGAATAATGACTTGAATCGGTCGGTCTTCTGCAGGTTGCTTCTCTGTGTGGTGTTTCCCTTGCTTCGCCTGCATCACAGCCAGAGATCATGGAGAGTGTCTGTGTCTCCCTCTACTGGACAGCTGCGGGTGTATTCCTCCTGTTACTCTGTCCATGAGGGTGTCCACACGACTGCGATACGGCATCACGGTAAAGACACGAGAAAACTTTGATAAAATAAGCATATATTAGAAAGAAACTGCATTGTTTTGTTTCATGACGAGCTGAATCAATCATCAATAGACCGTCGGGGTAGCGCCATGTTTGATTTGTGACAGGAATGAAAATGAGGCTGTGAGAGATCGAACTGTTAATTAACAACATAAATTGGTGTGCTGACGAAATTTTCAGTAGATAAAAACACCGTTTTGAAAGGTGTGAGTTTTACATTGCGTGCCGTGACTGTTTCACAGCCTCTTTTTCATCTGCATTAAATTCAATACGCGCTTCACATCAGCGCCATCTTTGATTTTGAATCATGAATGAGTCTGTGAGGGACATGTATCACTTCAGTGGGTTATACTGTTTTTTTAATGTGTTTTTGGATTGTTCTGCTGTGCTGACGAAACACTGCAAAACCCCATGCAACAATTAACCATGGTTTATTATAGTAAAAACACGTTTTTTGATTGATTACCAGTTAACCACTGTTCTATGATGTGGTGTAGTAAAACCATTTTGGTTACCACACTACAACCTTGTTTTTTGCTGCAAAACCATGGTTAATTTTCGAATATTTTACTTGGAATTTCAGTAGACACACCAGACAATATGCTCTGTGGAAAATTGTGACCTAGGAGCTGTATATAGCTTTCCACTGTGGATGGATGCCATTGAAAACATGGCCTCACTTTCGTACTTGTTGTGGCGATGCTCTGAATAAGGTCTATTGAGCCTGTAGAGCTTATTAGCAGGGCCATCTTTGTTTTGTTTTTTTTAATGGGAATGAAAGCGAGGCTGCAAGTGTACTCCTTCATGTCTTCAGTGTTATTTAATATACTTTTGGGTTGTAGGCTACTGCTTATGAAACAAACACTGCAGAAATATCTTTCGGTTTGACAAACTCTAAACAACATCTTTCGGTTTGACAAACTCTAAACAACATGAGCTCTGGTTGAATATATAAGTGTTCTAGGAGCTATAAACATCTTTTTACATCCGATGCCATTGAAAACACTTTCATACCTGTCATAGCTATATTGTAATGCAACAGAAGAAATCAGAACACTGAATAGGTCAAGGATCTTCTATTGTGGTTCATTACGGCCCTGTTTTCTTCACACAGGACTCCATCTGCAATGACTGTGTGTACTCTTTCTTCTGCGGACCGTGCTCATGGTGCCAGATCAGACGCGAGATGAAGGCAAGACTATCACCTATCACTCTGTTCAACAACAGGCCAACCTAAAGAACACCATCATCTTCCTCACCTCGCTCTATTATCACTTTCACACATTCTCTAAAGCGATCAGTCTTTATCGGATCATAGTCATGTCAGTCCAAAACACAAAGATTTGCTGTTCTGGGGTTGCAATCAGAGTTTTTGATCTCCCTCCCACACACACTGACCTGAGATCAGCCCTTTGACATTGTAGGGGAGTGTGTTTAAGATGTTGGTGTACAGCTTTAATCCAGGAAGTGGAGAATTCTGAACAATGGATTCCCTTAAGGAAAATGCCGATTTGGGATTCTTACAGCATGTTTAGTGTCGCAGTTTTTATTATAGATTGTAATTATTAAAGCAATGGCATTTTCTTTTTATCTCACACTCTAAATCTTTCTGAAAACATCTGTTTAATATTACATTTTCACTGTAGTTGGAAAGTTGTTTTATTGAGCCATTGATATGTGACACTGGAGGTTTGATATTAGGATAAGATGTTTTAGTGCGTGTCTGTGTTTGTGCAGATCTGTAAATGATGAAATTTATAGAATATTAAAAGAAAAAGTCAATAAAGCTGATTACAAATATAAGGGTTTGTGTTTCATGCTCTTATCAACAAAAAATAATTTTTTTAGAAATGATCTTTAGAAACATCTACACACCCTTTGGCTGCCGTTTTCCCACTTTTACATAAAGTTGATCAATCGCCATTCAACTAACTGGTGCTAGACCGAAATGTCCATTAATATCCAGAGGGGCCAGAAAAAAAAATTATCATGATTTAGTTTTTTCATATGAATGTTTTCATTCGCACAATTAAAGGTAGGGTAGAGCTTTGAAAGCATGACATCCCTCTCAAAGCACATATCCTTCATAACACATCAACACACACACACACACACACACACACAGAGCAGGGTCTGCAAAGCGTCACGAGAGACGCCTTTAAATTACTTTATGTCTCACAGCACATACCATCACAATAATAATTAACATAAACAACTTAGAGGACTCTGACTTGTTGTGCAACCTGGCATTGAAATGCATAAGTCCCAGTCCAAGGACGTGAACAGCTCTGGTTGAAGAAAGTCACGGGTATAAGCTCACTGTTTTGGTTCAGGAGGAACTGTAAAAGGTTTCTGTTGTTTGTTTGTGGCACTCACATCTGTATACAACTTTGCTTAGCATAAAACACACCGACGACCTGTGATGTCTGCACGAACAGATATGCAAATGTATGCGGTCCGAATGCAATGATTGGACAAACATTTTTTACACCTGAGAAGATATATGTAATTTTTAAAAAATATTTAGACCACTTATATTATTGATTGCTATCAGGATGTGAAGAGAGTTTTATGCCTGGTTCAGATTACACGATTTTAGCCCCATTTTGGCACGATCCGTTTGACGTGGGGCGTCATGGGGATTCGTAAACGACAACGGGCGTCGGGATGCAAGATTCGTTCGTATCATCTCGTATAGTGTGTCATAGTGGGCGACAACCTGCGTCGCGTCTGCGATGCTTCACGACATCAAAAGACTAGCATGTTTAAGTTTTTTAACGGTCGATCATGACGGTTCCGTCACATGTATGAGGTTGACCAATAGGAGCACAGAAAGAGAGACGATGGTGCTAACGTTAAAACTAAAAGTAAAATATAAGAAAACAATATTTTACCTCAAGTTTCCTTTGGAGGATTGACAATCTTCGAGCAATCCAGGAACGTGTCCATTGTCGGGTTTTCTTTCTTTTTTCTGAACACGGACAGCCAAGACAACACTCACCGCTTCATCAATTGTTTGTTTACATTCGTTTCCAGAAGTCATTCGCTACTATAGACCCTTTTACCCTTTTACTTTTTTGTGGGCGGAGCTTAGTTGGAGGCAGAAAGATCCCTCTGGCCGCTTCACTAACGCTAGTTAGCAAGGATTGTTAGCTTGTTTTTTAACAATGACTGGAGAAAATCAGATATTATCTTAATGTGTAAGGTCAGGGCCGCGATTGTTATTTCCAAAAGTTATTTTTAACGGACGGAACCAGATTGGCCGACCTGTAGCCGCCTACACGCTCACTCAACGCATGGACGATCTGACAGGATTAACGTACGTTACCTCGGTTGAGTGGCCTGACTTCTACACCTACCTTAAAGAGAAACCGAACGTAAATAGAAACTGAGGGCATATAAATCTTTAGATGCCTATATGGTCCTGTATAAGACTTGTGTGTACGATCCGCAGTTCTGCCGAGCCAGCGTCGAGACCACGACGACAGTGTAAAGAGTGACATTACAGTGCGATTTTAATGACGTGAATATTTTCTAGAAATAAAAGTTCCAGATTCAGCATATTCATTTTTCATCAATTCTTGCACCAAACAACACAACAAGATGACATTTAATAATAGTAACAATTATTTAAGCTCCTTATTATGTAGCCGAATCTGTGCTGGTTTGTATTGGCCGCCTCCAGTTTTCACTTCGTTTTGCCTCCAGCTAGCGCCGTGACGTAACTGTGACGTCGGCGCAAAAGGGGTCTATAGTTTCGCCTTCTCGATGACATCACGGTCAGGAAGCAACGTGTAGTCTGTGACACGACAAGATTTTAAGAGTCATTCCCTGCTGTCAACTTCTGGAACAAAATCCATGGTAAAATATCCCAATTCATCTGGAATAATAATAAAAAAAAAACGTTTAAAACTGGCTACTTTACTGAAGAAGAGGGTAGATGGGGGTTTGGCAGTGCCTGATTGTAAGCTTTATTTTTGGTCTTTTGTACTCCGGCCTTTGTTTGTATGGTTTAACCCTTATACTCCTGTCTCTTGGCGCAAGGTAGAAGAAAGTATTGTGCGTCCATTGGAATCTGGAAGACGTGCTTTTCTCTGATGTATCAAATAAGCAATGTCGGCTTCGCTTCGGTCCCATAGTTTCCCATCTTATCCAAACCTGGAGGTTAGTTGAATCAAGGTCTCCTGCAAGTGGCATACACAATCTCCCATATTCACTAATAAAGGATTGACAATTGGAGGCAGACCCATTCCACCTTCGCATTGAAGTAGGAGTGGTATTCGCCATTTGAAAGACATTTATAATGATTCCAAGACATTGCAAACTCATTCAATTTACCAGCATCCTCATTTTTCTGTCATCTACAGCTTAGATCGGCCCTCAAAGCGTATGGTGTTCCTTGGCAGCAACCTTTGCTTGTAAACCCGTTGTATAAGTTGATTATTGCTCAAGGGAATAATAGGGAATTGGTGTCCATATTACATAACTTTAAAGGAGAACTCCGGCGAACAATGAACCTTTGGTCTAATAAAACATCGGTACACAGTCAACCGTTCTCTGAGATTTGTTTTCATGATAATCGAATGTAAAGAGTTTTATCTCTAAAAACTGTTTAGCGTATAATGCTAGTAATGGGGGCATTGACTAAGTAAAAAGAAATCGCTAGTTTATACCACTAACAAGGCTCACAAATAGCCCCACACTAACACAGAAACATAATGAGGCTCCATACATGCAAAACGAAGCATTGAGAACTTTGTAAGTGTTCAGACCGTTTAATAAGAAGATACTTTATGAAGACAGTTCACTTTGAGTATACAGACAGGAGCCATCTTAAAAAATAGTCTCGATAAGTCAAACCACGAACGTCATGCTGAGTGATCTGAACTGTATGAAGTTCAGCGAACTTCTGACGGCGTTCTGGGATCGACTTATCGAGACTATTTTTTAAGATGGCTCCTGTCTGTATACGTGAAGTGAACTGTCTTCATAAAGTATCTTCTTATTAAACGGTCTGTACACTTACAAAGTTCTCAATGCTTCGTTTTGCATGTATGGAGCCTCATTATGTTACTGCGTTAGTGTGGGGCTATTTTGAGCCTTGTTAGTGGTATAAACTAGCGATTTCTTTTTACTTAGTCAATGCCCCCATTACCAACATTATACGCTAAACAATTTTTAAAGATAAAACTCTTTACATTCGATTATCATGAAAACAAATCTCAGAGAACGATTGACTGTGTACCGATGTTTTATTAGACCAAAGGTTCATTGTTCGCCAGAGTTCTCCTTTAAATTGGAGGCCTTTTATGACAAACCGCCTCTAGATAGGCTGTGGGGACGGGACTGCCCGAGCTTGGATCCGGACTTTAATTGGAAGGATGTTTGGGTAAATATAAAGGAGGCCTCTCGTAATCCTGACCACCAACAGATACACTTCAACTTTGTACATAGAGCGTATTTAACACCTCGCAAACTCTATTTAATGAAGAGATTGACTGACCCAACATGTACCCAATGTGTTCTACAGGCACTTTCTTACATATGATGTGGGAGTGTCCACCTGTTGCTCAATTTTAGACTCAGGTGGCAGCCAGATTATCTGATCTGGTTTCAGCAGCGATACCTGTAACGGTGCCTGTCCTGTTACTGAATAACCTAACAATGTTGAACCTGAATAGTCAGCATAAGCAAATAGTATAGCTGGCCTCACAGTTCCTAAAAAGATGATTGCTTTGAGATGGAAGCCTCCTCCAGGTCGTCTACGAGTCATTTAGCACCAGGTTCTCCACAAACTTGAGGTGCGATAAGGGGGAGAGGGGCGACGCTCTTTCGGCCGCCCCCCGGTTCCGGTCACGGACGGCCTTCCTCGCCGGCCCCCGGGGGAGCCGGCTATCCGGGGCCAATCAAAGTCCCGCGGCGCTGCGGTATCGTTCCTTCTAGGCGGGATTCTGACTTAGAGGCGTTCAGTCATAATCCCGCAGATGGTAGCTTCGCACCTGATCTGGTTTCAGCAGCGATACCTGTAACGGTGCCTGTCCTGTTATTGAATAACCTAACAATGTTGAACCTGAATAGTCAGCATAAGCGCACAGGATAGCTGGCCTCACAGTTCCTAAAAAGATGATTGCTTTGAGATGGAAGCCTCCGCATTGACTTTCTGTTAAATGTTGGATTCTTACATCTTTGGATGTGACTCTTCTAGAATTGTCTACTGCTCGAGTTAAAAAGCTCTCTGTAACTGGAACAGTGTTTCTGAGTCACTAAAAACTTGGGTGAGATGACTTAACCTTTACCTGACTTAATTCAAGTTGGTTTATTCTGTGTACTTGTTAATTCAAGCTACTTAAATTGAGTTATTCCCCTTGTCCTTTTTTTATTTTATTATTTATTTATTTATTTATTTATACTTAGATTGAGTTATTCCCCTTGTCCTTTTTTATTTATTTATTTATTTATTTATTGGGGGGAGGGGCTGTTTCATATGTCTGTATATAGAGTGCGGAAGTTACGACATCACTCTGTAGGCTAAAACGCGGAAGTGAGTTAGCATTTTAGCACTACGGTTCCCTCGCTCTAAAGCCTATGGGATTTTTGAATGGGTTTTTGCTAAATCGCCTGAAATAAGGTCTCTGGTGAACAGAGCCTCTAAATATTTTCACGTTTTGATCTATGACATAAAACACAGTTATAACCTGCTTGTGGTTTTTTAAACTTTATTGTGTCTGATTGTGTTTTTTAAAATCTTCATATAGGCTTCAAAATGTATAAATTTTGGATTAACTTGTAAAGATTATCTTGCTAGACAAAACGTGTAAGTGTTACTACTCTTTGTTGAACACAGATCTTATTTTTTGCGATTTTCCAAAAGTCTATGGGGAAAATGCATTGCTTTTCGACCGAGGGAACCCATTCGCCGCTAGCTTCCGAGTTGTCCTACAAAGTGACGTCATCACTTCGGCACTCTATTGCAAATGTATGTCTATTTTGTCATGGTAAATGTGTGTTCTTTTGACTGCTTGTTGTGATTTTAAAAATGCTTAATATGTTGTTCTTTTTCCTTCAATAAACATTTGATCACAAAAAAAAAAATATTTTAGGAGTCAAAATCGCGTAATCTGACAGTGACAATCGTAACAGACAAAAAAAAACGTGTAATCTGAACCAGGCATTAACCGGTATAACAAATATCGTTTATAAAAACCATTGCCTAAACTAAAAATAACCATCATAAGAACCAACATCCGATATATCGGATATCAACTACATTTTGGAGTAGACTTGAAATAAATTGGGACTTACAATGACACAGGTGACTCATGTCTTTGCGCCTGTGTATATTAATACTTATCTACATTTCGGCCTAGCATCATTGCCATTAGTTGTATGGTGCTTTTGTTTTGTTTTTTGGCTCCTCAGCCCCAGTTACTATTCACTTTTGTTGTAAAAGTGCTAAAATCCATTTTATGTGGAGAAAATAAAATGTTTGCATAATATGTAAACATAAAATAACAGCAGTATTCATCTAGAGTCATCTTTACATTGCGATGTCCATTTGAAAATGAAATCGAATGAGGCCAGTGGCCGTCAAGCTTCAGAACTACAAATCAGCTTTTTGACCTTTTGCTGTTACATAAATTACCTTTCAAGTCCTGAGGGGAACTCGTGTGCATGTGGGAAACAAGGAAACTTTCTTCATTCTTGTATGAAATAAGCCACGATTTATTTCCGTTGAATGGTTAAGCCATAACACAGACGACATTTCTGTAGGTGAGTTAAAGGAGTAGTTCACTTTTTTAAAAACTTTTGCTGTGTCCATGTCTTTCTTTCTTCAGTCGAAAAGAAATGAAGGTTTTTGATGAAAACATTCCAGGATTTTTCTCCATATAATGGACTTCAATGGGAACCAAACGGTCCAAGGTCCAACTGCTTTAACTCGTTCATCAAAATGAACAAATCTTTTCCCAAGTCAACTCGTTCATTTCGTTCGTTGAATGAACCAAATGACACGAAAAAAGATTCGTTCATTTTGATAACCGAGCACGAACGCGCATCACAAAACAGAGCAAGCCGAGCATTTGAGCTTATAAAACTTAAACTTTGTTATTATTTTTTTTTAAATGAGCGATCGTTTCGCTTGATAAGACCCTTATTCATCGTCTGGAATCGTTTAAAGGCTTTTGAACAGTTTGCACTGAAACTGTCTTTTGGACCTTGAACCGTTTGGTTCCCATTGAAGTCCATTATATGGAGAAAAATCCTGGAATGTTTTCATCAAAAACCTTAATTTCTATTCGACTGAAGAAAGAATGACATGGGAGTGAGTAAATTATCTGCCAGGGCGGGCTTTATAGGATGATGGACAGATGATTGCCTCAGCTCAGCCATGTGATAACAATGTGATCATAGTTTCGAGTGATTCGTTCAGTCATTTATCTATTTTTGTGTTTGCTACTCTCCAGGCTGCTTCCCACATGGTGTCACGTCTGCTTTACTTGTTCCACAGCATCGGATTTTGGGGAGTTTTGCTGTCTGCCCCTGTTTGACCTTTGCGCCTGCACTCCTCCCATATCTATTCATCTGTGAGAACTTGATTCAACACACAGGTAGCCTATCTATGTGTTGCATCATAAACTAACAAAAAGTACCAAAAAAGGTCCATGGGTCTAAATGACATATAGTCATTTCTAAGCTCATTCCTCACTATATTCATCTTTAAGCATTATTTGGGCAGGACAATGATATAAGAAATCATTAAGGTACCATATTCTCAGTCAGCTCCAAATATAACATTAGTATTCCCAGAGGCAGAATGTTTTGTACCAGGTAATTTGAACTATAGAAAGTAACGGAGGAAAGAGGAAACTGTGGCTTTGTGATAAAGTCAATGAAGTGAGTCATAGCCTGGAGTCATGATCTGCAATTACACCTGCCTTTGTTGCTTTTGGCAGCTCGCCTCCTCTTTAAAACTGAGATCTTTTTCAAGACAAGTCATCTGCAAGTTGTTTGCATTGATGATTTTGTTGCTTGTTGGACTGTTTAAGACTTCTCCATGCATTGAAAATAGTTGTTGATGTTGCACTCACTTCTATATGTTTAAAGATTAAATGTTATGGTTAGCCATTATTTACTGTTGCACCCAGTTAAATAAAATCTGGTTGACCACTTTGCATGTCACATTAACACTGAACATTTGGACTTTGCAAATATAGACCAGTTCTCTGCTCAATCAACACTGCAACCCGGACGCAAGTAAGAGTTTCACACATTATTTTCAAACCATTCTGTGTTTTAAAGCTTATGCACAACATTCGAGTTTCAAATTTTGTAATTTCATTTTTGCTTGATGTATTATGTGTATTTGTTTCTATTTATTGACATAGGTATAGGTAACAAAACAAAAAAAGCTGTGACAATATAAAATGGATAGTAACTGCAGAAAATAATTAAATCGATCCTTTTGTTTTCCCGTCAAAATCCGTAGAAGAACCCGTGCAAGACAAAATTATATTTAATCGGGTATATTTAATCTCTTCCACTTTTTTCAAAGTTTCTGCAAAGTTTCTGGATTGGCAAACATATTTACATGTTTGCATTTTTTACTAATTCAAACGTTTTCTGATAGCGAGAACTGCAAAATTTGACTAGTATTGGTACCAACCACTAAAACTTTAGTGCATGGCAACCTTAAAACAAGATAAAACTATTAGACAATGGGAGTAAAGAAAGTAATTTAAGATCTGTTCTCAGAATGTGCACACATTTGTTTATCAGGTAAATGTATCTCGCTTTTAGGATGTTTAGGTATTTTTGTTGGGAAACGACCAACGCACTATGTCAGTTGATGTTTTACAGTATGCGGCAATCTTTTTATCAATTCAGTATGGCCTTATGGAGTTCATTGAACTTCCTGGAATTTCTCCAAAAAACAGCAGGAATTCGGAGGCTTGTAGTCTGGATGAGGGAAGACTTCTGTTGACTGTCTCAACAACTTTGTAATCTCTTTGCAAGTTTCCTTAAAATGATTTTTGCCATAAGTTATCACAACTTAAATTAAGCATTTTTGTTGTTGTGATGACTCAAAAATCCAAGTTGATTAAGCTTAAGAAGGTATCATGAACACTTGCTTTCTTAAGTTGAAACTACTAGTTATTGTAATATTCTAATGTACAATCGGATCTTGATTAGTAAAACCTGACCGTGGTTTTTAGCAGTAGCTGATCCAGATCTCCACACTCTTAGAAGAAAAGTTTCTATATAGAACCTTAAAAGGTTCTATCAGCGCTACGTATTTGGAACCCCTAAAAGGTTCTATACACTCTTAAAAAAGGGTTCCTTTGGGTTCTATATAGAACCCTGGAGTTCCATACATGGCCAGTAGAACCTTTTACCAAAAAAAAAAAAAAATGGTTCTATATAGAGTTCCATATATAAAGTGGGGGATGGAACCTTTTCTGGTTCTAAATAGAACCATTTCTTCTAAGAGTGGACCAGTCCTGCAAGACTGATTATGGCCGTATTGCTCTCAAATATTCAAGAAAAATTGCATTTAGCTATTTTGCATTAGAATTTATTATTCTATATATCTATATATGTGTGTGTACTGTGTTTAATTATTTTGTATATATAAATACACACAGATGCATGTAAGAAATATTTGCATGTATATACTGTATATATATATATATTGATATACAGTATAATTTATATTATATATAAATATTGTATATATAAATAATATTTTTTAAATATATATATATATATATATATATATATATAAAATGTATATGCATGTGTGTGTATTTATAAAATAATTATACACAGCACACACACATATATTATGTAAACACAAACTTTTAATCCAATAATCGTTGCCCAGCTCTAATTACAATGCAATTCAATGAAAAAATAAGCCTTTGTAAAAGTATTACATGATTGTAGAGTACAAACGCAGTGAACTGGTTTCTGCTTTGCACAGACCCAATTAGTGACCTTTATAACTTAAACATTTAAATGCATAGAATCCAAGAATAACTAATCCAAGCTGTTTTTTGGCAAACAAAACTATGTGTGAGCTGATTGCTAATAGCCCTTATTTTGCCGTTTCTCCCCAGTTTTGCCTTGTTATTCAGTGCAGACTCCAGAACTTAAAGCGTTACAAAGATTCACATAAGGGCACATAGAGTGAGGATATTTGCTCTCTCTGACTGGAGGCTAATCCAAACTGTGACCAGGGGCCTCTTTAGATCTCATGTTACAGAGCAAGAGAAGGGGCTTAAACAAAGACACACACAGCCATTTGCCTGTTTGGCCTGTCTTGCACAATGTAGTTGGAAGTGAATGTGTGTATATACATTTTGGAAATCCAAAGCTTGTTTTGCCAGTGTTTGCACAAGACAACCAGAGCGTTGACCGGATTTGCTGAGTGATACAAAAGGTAAAGTAAACCTGATTGTTTTTGTTCAGCATGTATGCTGGTAATGCCTCAAGCAAAGATCAACACTGATGTGCTAAAAATCTGATATTTTCCTAATGTGTTGGGTGATATCTGTGGGCACATGGCTCGATATATCTTGTTAAAAGACCTCTTGATGGTTTGTTTCTTGTTTTGGTATGGATTAATAGAGTGTTTGAGGTTTGATGTTGTGCTTAATGAGCTACACCGTGCAGATAGGTTGGAAAAGAAGGAGGAGCTGGAGGGGATGTGATGTGAGATTTAGGAAAGGAAGAGAAAGAGAAGTTCCTAACAGTAAGGACTCGGCCATCAATGATGAAGTATCTTATACTGAATAGCTGCAGAGTTTTTGTTTTTGCTTGTTACCTCAAAATCTGGAGATTATTACGATATAATTTGGTCCAGCTAACAAATGGATTATTATCTGAAAACACAAACAGGTAATTCCATTATAGTGATGTAGATGCAGGACATAAACACAGAAATGCTTTCATTCTGACTGTTTTCTTTTAATGCACACTCATAAATCATAAATGCTTTTTGGTAAATATTATGACATTCTGAAAGGTTGTATGATCAGGGCCAAACTTGTTGCACTTTAAAAGTGGTTTCAGACATGAAACATTTCTTATGTTAAGTAAATGTTGGTCTCTATTATATAAAAGTGTTCAAATTGTGCCCCAGAATGTATATAGCTGCCATTTTTTTGTATATGATAACATATTATTCACTGACCGAAGGAAGGAAGGAAGGAAGGAAGGAAGGAAGGAAGGAAGGAAGGAAGGAAGGAAGGAAGGAAGGAAGGAAGGAAGGAAGGAAGGAAGGAAGGAAGGAAGGAAGGAAGGAAGGAAGGAAGGAAGGAAGGAAGGAAGGAAGGAAGGAAGGAAGGAAGGAAGGAAGGAAGGAATATCCCAAAGGCGTCCAATGAGTTTAAGAACTGCACTTTCCATGCCAATACACGTGTGTGAAACCGATTCTTCATGATCCTCACAACCATTCTTTCACAGTTTGAGCCTGGAATATGGCCATGGCGTGTCTTCCAACATGGTTGTTTAAGAAATGAAAAGAACTGATGCCAAACATACAGTATAACATGCTAGAAACATAATAATCACTGCAATAATGATCCATTCATAGACTCTCAAGCATTTGCCTATTTAAATCCAAACTGAGACTTGGCCGGGCAGAGTATAATGCAATATCAAATATGAAATAAATGAGGCTGTATACATTTTGGGGCACAATTTGAGCATTTTTATACAATCCAGACCGTCTGCCTCCATTTTTCAACCACAACCATGTCTATATGCAAAATAACTATTTATTTTTGGATAAAATCCTCTGGCTATAAAATTGTAAACATCTTGCACTCTCTCTCTCTCTCTCTGTGTGTATTTACAGCTGTCTAAAAGATGGATCTGAGGTCGAAACAACTCTCTGCACTGACTTGTCTACTCTTTGTGTCATGCTGTTGTCATGGTGGAAATATCCTGGTGGTGCCCGAGGATGGCAGTCACTGGGTGAACATGCAATTCATTATGAGAAATCTCCACACCCACGGCCATAGCCTCACAGTGGTGCGTTCGTCTAAAAGTTGGTACATCCAAGAGAATTCCTCCCTCTACAACACCATCACCATCAACCCACCGGAGGCCGAAGACGTCGGCCCTGACTGGTTTAAGTTGTTGATAGAGAGGTCGCTAGCACTGCAAACGATGTCGCCCTTCGTTCGTTTCTTTGAACAACAGAAATATATCGCCAACATGCTCAAAGTGTTTCACAACGGAGCTCTTCAAATGATTTCCACCATTTTGGATGATGCATCGCTTGTCGAACGCTTGCGAGACGCCAAGTTTGACCTGCTTGTAACAGACCCGGCATTCCCAATTGGAGTCCTTTTGGCCAATTTCCTGCACCTTCCCTTGGTTTACAATGTACGTTGGATAAATGCTGGGGATGCTCACATGCAAATCGCTCCATCCCCTCCATCCTACATCCCAATGTATAATTCATTGTTCCACGACCACATGAGCTTCATGCAACGGACTGAAAATTTCCTACGGCATCTGGTCAGCCTTCTTCAGGAGCGATACATAATCGTGCCAATTTACAGCAAACTGCTTGAGCGCCACTTCCCGCCTGGCACTGACCTTCTCTCAGTGCAACAATCTGCTGACATTTGGTTGATGAGAGTGGACTTTGTCTTTGATTTTCCACGACCCACCATGCCTAACATGGTCTACATCGGTGGCTTTCAATGTCAGCCGGCTAAAGCCCTTCCCGAGGATCTGGAAGAGTTCATGCAGAGCTCTGGAGAGCATGGAGTAGTTGTCATGTCTTTAGGAGCTGTGGTCGGTGCTCTCCCTAAAACGATCACTGAGGCCATCGCTGCAGCCTTTGCTGAGATCCCTCAGAAAGTCGTGTGGAGCTACCATGGGGAACGACCCTCGACCTTGGGAAACAACACTTTACTCCTAGAGTGGTTTCCTCAGAATGATCTCCTGGGCCATCCGAAGACTCGCGTGTTTGTATCTCACGGCGGCACCAATGGTATCTTTGAAGCGATTTACCATGGAGTCCCGATCTTGGCGTTACCGATACTCTTTGACCAGTTTGACAACGCTGTGCGGCTGCAGGTTCGAGGTGTGGCTCGAGTGCTTCAAGTCTCAACGCTCACGTCGCAAGAATTCCTCGAAGGCCTCAAAGACCTCCTGGAGAACCCGCTGTACCAAAGCAACATCCGCAAACTGTCAGAGTTGCATCACGATCGGCCCTTGTCTCCTCTTGATAGTGCCACTTTTTGGATTGAGTATGTCATGAGACACAAAGGAGCAGCTCATCTTCGCTCTGAGGCTAATAATTTGCCTTGGTACTCGTACCACATCCTAGATGTGTTGGCATTTCTACTGGCGTTCACTGCGATTGCTCTTTTGACCTCAGTATATGTCTGCAAGCTTTTGTGTTGCAGGAAGTCAATCAAAAAGAGGAAGGTGGACTGAGCTGAACTTTTGACTAATTGCAAAACTGGGTGAAACTAAATTAAATGTCATGCAGTTTGCAAAAATCTTTTTCCTTTCCAACTATGGTCCATTCAAGGTTTCACAATGAAATCTGATTTCCCAAGTTATGAAACCTCTGCTGATAAATGCATTCTGGCCGAGGACATGGGTTTGATTCCCAGGGGAGTGTTAGATGAGGTATTAACAAGTATAGTTCTGACTTTATGGTTGTGACTGCTAAAAACAAACGAATGTAGATGGAATAATACAGCATATACGTATACGTTGTACGTTAAAGGGTTAGTTCACCCAAAAATGAAAATTAAGTCATTAATTACTCACCCCCATGCTGTACCAACCCCGTAAGACCTTCGTTCGTCTTCGGAACACAAATGAAGATATTTTTGATTAAATTTGAGAGCTGTATAACTACCACATTGGCTCCTAAAGGACTGCCTCTTGATGGCCCAGAAAGTCAATGAAGAAAATGTTTAAATATCCCAAGTGACTACCGTGGCTCAACTATATGTTTATCAAGCGACGCGAATACTTTTTGTGCGAAAAAACAAACAAAAATAACGAGTTTATTCGACTATTTCTTTTCTTCCTTGTAGGCCAGAACGAGACTTCCTTAGATTTCCACGACGCATGCGCGAGAATTGCGATCTGAAGTAGTGTAAGCTGGCGTAAGCAGATCGCAAATCTCGCGCATGCGTCGTGAAAATCTAAGGAAGTCTCGTTCTGGCCTACAAGGAAGAAAAGAAATAGTCGAATAAACTCGTTATTTTTGTTTGTTTTTTCGCACAAAAAGTATTCGCGTCGCTTGATAAACATATAGTTGAGCCACGGTAGTCACTTGGGATATTTAAACATTTTCTTCATTGACTTTCTGGGCCGTCAAGAGGCAGTCCTTTAGGAGCCAATGTGGTAGTTATACAGCTCTCAAATTTAATCAAAAATATCTTCATTTGTGTTCCGAAGACGAACGAAGGTCTTACGGGGTTGGTACAGCATGGGGGTGAGTAATTAATGACTTAATTTTCATTTTTGGGTGAACTAACCCTTTAAACTACACTCAAAGATGGTACCTTTAGGGGTACAGTTGGCAGTACCCTTAAAAGGGACATCTTTGTACATTTTTTTTCCTTCCTTAAAAGGTGCAAATTAGTAGCAAAATTCACCTTAAGGTACTACTATAAACCTTTTAGGGGTAAAAAAAGGTAGAAAGATGTCCAAAATACTGCCCCAGTGGCAAACTGTTGTATAAGGTAAAATTGTCGCAATTTCTTTCTAAGTGTGTATGCTATTCGTACTGTGGTGTCTTAACCAAATCCTCAACATGTAATCTAGTGCCTATAAAGAAGACAACAAGATGTATTCCCAGTTCAGCCTTGATATTGTTCCTTCTCCCACTGTGAATGTGTTTTTAATCATCATTAAAGGTTCAATAGGCAACATCTTTACTTGTTCCAGTTCTAATCCACTTCCTGGTATTTCTTATCTCAGGTCATGAATTCTTTCCTGCTCTCATTCATTTACCACATGTTCACATCTGCAGAATACACAGTAGTTATAGCACACCACACAAACAGCCATGTTTAAAAATTGGTCATATTTAAATGAATACAATTTAAGCATAATTTTATATACACTCGCCAGACACTTTCCTGTACGCAGTTAGTACATTAGTTTCTAGTTTCATGCTGTTTACACCAAATTCTGACCCGGCAATCTGAATGTCGTAGCAGAAATAGGTAAAATTGTCAGACCAGGCAACGTTTTTCCAATCTTCTATTGTGAAACCGTAGCCTCGGTTTCTGAGTGGACAGGAGTGTCACCGGTGTGTGGCTCGTCTGAGTCAAGGTTTGACGTGTTGTGTGTTCTGAGATGCTCTTCTGTGTTCAGAGAATATCTTCTGTGTTCAGAGACACTCTTCTGTGTTCAGAGACGATCTTCTGTGTTCAGAGACGCTCTTCTGTGTTCAGAGACGCTCTTCTGTGTTCAGAGATGCTCTTCTGTGTTTAGAGATGATCTTCTGTGTTCAGAGACACTCTTCTGTGTTCAGAGACGCTCTTCTGTGTTCAGAGACGCTCTTCTGTGTTCAGAGACGCTCTTCTGTGTTCAGAGATGATCTTCTGTGTTCAGAGACGCTCTTCTGTGTTCAGAGACACTCTTCTGTGTTCAGAGACGCTCTTCTGTGTTCAGAGACGCTCTTCTGTGTTCAGAGACGCTCTTCTGTGTTCAGAGATGATCTTCTGTGTTCAGAGACGCTCTTCTGTGTTCAGAGACGCTCTTCTGTGTTCAGAGACGCTCTTCTGTGTTCAGAGACGATCTTCTGTGTTCAGAGACGATCTTCTGTGTTCTGAGATGCTCTTCTGTGTTCAGAGATGATCTTCTGTGTTCAGAGACGATCTTCTGTGTTCAGAGATGATCTTCTGTGTTCAGAGACACTCTTCTGTGTTCAGAGACGATCTTCTGTGTTCAGAGACGCTCTTCTGTGTTCAGAGACGCTCTTCTGTGTTCAGAGACGCTCTTCTGTGTTCAGAGACGCTCTTCTGTGTTCAGAGACGCTCTTCTGTGTTCAGAGACACTCTTCTGTGTTCAGAGACGCTCTTCTGTGTTCAGAGACGCTCTTCTGTGTTCAGAGACGCTCTTCTGTGTTCAGAGATGATCTTCTGTGTTCAGAGACGCTCTTCTGTGTTCAGAGACACTCTTCTGTGTTCAGAGACGCTCTTCTGTGTTCAGAGACGCTCTTCTGTGTTCAGAGACGCTCTTCTGTGTTCAGAGATGATCTTCTGTGTTCAGAGACGCTCTTCTGTGTTCAGAGACGCTCTTCTGTGTTCAGAGACGCTCTTCTGTGTTCAGAGACGATCTTCTGTGTTCAGAGACGATCTTCTGTGTTCTGAGATGCTCTTCTGTGTTCAGAGATGATCTTCTGTGTTCAGAGACGATCTTCTGTGTTCAGAGATGATCTTCTGTGTTCAGAGACACTCTTCTGTGTTCAGAGACGATCTTCTGTGTTCAGAGACGCTCTTCTGTGTTCAGAGACGCTCTTCTGTAATCAGAGACTATCTTCTGTGTTCAGAGACGATCTTCTGTGTTCAGAGATGATCTTCTGTGTTCAGAGACACTCTTCTGTGTTCAGAGACGATCTTCTGTGTTCAGAGACGCTCTTCTGTGTTCAGAGACGCTCTTCTGGGTTCAGAGACGCTCTTCTGTGTTCAGAGACGCTCTTCTGTGTTCAGAGATGATCTTCTGTGTTCAGAGATGATCTTCTGTGTTCAGAGACGATCTTCTGTGTTCAGAGACACTCTTCTGTGTTCAGAGATGATCTTCTGTGTTCAGAGATGATCTTCTGTGTTCAGAGATGCTCTTCTGTGTTCAGAGACGCTCTTCTGTGTTCAGAGATGATCTTCTGTGTTCAGAGATGCTCTTCTGTAATCAGAGACTATCTTCTGTGTTCAGAGACGCTCTTCTGTGTTCAGAGATGATCTTCTGTGTTCAGAGATGATCTTCTGTGTTCAGAGACGATCTTCTGTGTTCAGAGACACTCTTCTGTGTTCAGAGATGATCTTCTGTGTTCAGAGATGATCTTCTGTGTTCAGAGATGCTCTTCTGTGTTCAGAGACGCTCTTCTGTGTTCAGAGATGATCTTCTGTGTTCAGAGATGCTCTTCTGTAATCAGAGACAATCTTCTGTGTTCAGAGACAATCTTCTGTGTTCAGAGACGCTCTTCTGTGTTCAGAGACGCTCTTCTGTGTTCAGAGATGATCTTCTGTGTTCAGAGACGCTCTTCTGTGTTCAGAGACGATCTTCTGTGTTCAGAGACACTCTTCTGTGTTCAGAGATGATCTTCTGTGTTCAGAGATGATCTTCTGTGTTCAGAGATGCTCTTCTGTGTTCAGAGACGCTCTTCTGTGTTCAGAGATGATCTTCTGTGTTCAGAGATGCTCTTCTGTAATCAGAGACTATCTTCTGTGTTCAGAGATGATCTTCTGTGTTCAGAGATGCTCTTCTGTGTTCAGAGATGATCTTCTGTGTTCAGAGACGCTCTTCTGTGTTCAGAGATGATCTTCTGTGTTCAGAGATGCTCTTCTGTGTTCAGAGATGCTCTTCTGTGTTCAGAGATGATCTTCTGTGTTCAGAGATGATCTTCTGTGTTCAGAGATGATCTTCTGTGTTCAGAGATGCTCTTCTGGGTTCAGAGACTATCTTCTGTGTTCAGAGACGCTCTTCTGTGTTCAGAGATGATCTTCTGTGTTCAGAGATGCTCTTCTGTGTTCAGAGATGCTCTTCTGTGTTCAGAGATGATCTTCTGTGTTCAGAGACGATCTTCTGTGTTCAGAGACGCTCTTCTGTGTTCAGAGACGCTCTTCTGTGTTCAGAGACGCTCTTCTGTGTTCAGAGACGCTCTTCTGTGTTCAGAGACGCTCTTCTGTGTTCAGAGACGCTCTTCTGTGTTCAGAGACGCTCTTCTGTGTTCAGAGACGCTCTTCTGTGTTCAGAGATGATCTTCTGTGTTCAGAGATGCTCTTCTGTAATCAGAGACGCTCTTCTGTGTTCAGAGATGCTCTTCTGGGTTCAGAGATGCTCTTCTGTGTTCAGAGACGCTCTTCTGTGTTCAGAGATGATCTTCTGTGTTCAGAGACGCTCTTCTGTGTTCAGAGATGATCTTCTGTGTTCAGAGATGCTCTTCTGTAATCAGAGACGCTCTTCTGTGTTCAGAGATGCTCTTCTGGGTTCAGAGATGATCTTCTGTGTTCAGAGACGCTCTTCTGTGTTCAGAGACGCTCTTCTGTGTTCAGAGACGCTCTTCTGTGTTCAGAGACGCTCTTCTGTGTTCAGAGATGCTCTTCTGGGTTCAGAGATGATCTTCTGTGTTCAGAGACGCTCTTCTGTGTTCAGAGACGCTCTTCTGTGTTCAGAGACGCTCTTCTGTGTTCAGAGATGATCTTCTGTGTTCAGAGATGCTCTTCTGTAATCAGAGACGCTCTTCTGTGTTCAGAGATGCTCTTCTGGGTTCAGAGATGCTCTTCTGTGTTCAGAGACGCTCTTCTGTGTTCAGAGATGATCTTCTGTGTTCAGAGATGCTCTTCTGTGTTCAGAGACGCTCTTCTGTGTTCAGAGACGCTCTTCTGTGTTCAGAGACGCTCTTCTGTGTTCAGAGACGCTCTTCTGTGTTCAGAGATGATCTTCTGTGTTCAGAGATGCTCTTCTGTAATCAGAGACTATCTTCTGTGTTCAGAGACGATCTTCTGTGTTCAGAGACGCTCTTCTGTGTTCAGAGACGATCTTCTGTGTTCAGAGACGATCATCTGTGTTCAGAGATGATCTTCTGTGTTCAGAGACGATCTTCTGTGTTCAGAGACGCTCTTCTGTGTTCAGAGATGATCTTCTGTGTTCAGAGATGATCTTCTGTGTTCAGAGACGCTCTTCTGTGTTCAGAGACGATCTTCTGTGTTCAGAGACGCTCTTCTGTAATCAGAGACTATCTTCTGTGTTCAGAGACGATCTTCTGTGTTCAGAGACGCTCTTCTGTGTTCAGAGACGCTCTTCTGTAATCAGAGAATATCTTCTGTGTTCAGAGATGATCTTCTGTGTTCAGAGACGCTCTTCTGTGTTCAGAGACGCTCTTCTGTGTTCAGAGACGCTCTTCTGTAATCAGAGACTATCTTCTGTGTTCAGAGACGATCTTCTGTGTTCAGAGACGATCTTCTGTGTTCAGAGACGCTCTTCTGTGTTCAGAGACGCTCTTCTGTAATCAGAGACTATCTTCTGTGTTCAGAGACGCTCTTCTGTGTTCAGAGACGCTCTTCTGTGTTCAGAGACGATCTTCTGTGTTCAGAGATGATCTTCTGTGTTCAGAGACGCACTTCTGTGTTCAGAGACGCACTTCTGTGTTCAGAGACGATATTCTGTGTTCAGAGACGATCATCTGTGTTCAGAGATGATCTTCTGTGTTCAGAGACGATCTTCTGTGTTCAGAGACGCTCTTCTGTGTTCAGAGATGATCTTCTCCAGGTCTCGGTTGCTTATTTGAGTTACTGTTGCCCTTTCTATCAGCTTGAACCAATTATTCTCCTCTGACCTCTGGCATCAACAAGGCCTTTTCTCCCACAGAACTGTCGCTCGCTGGATTTTTCCTCTTTATTGGCCCGTTCTTTGTAAATCCTAGAGACGATTGTGCATAAAAATCCCAGTAAATCCTCAGTTTCTCAGTTTTCCGAAATTGCCACCACAGGATAACTTTGTTCTCAAATGTACATTGGCTGGTAAAACATCTATTGTTTGCTTTTTACATTGTGTCGATACACCAATCAAAACAGTGTCCAGTAAACGTGGGGTAGAGGCGAGGGGTGTCACAGGGGACATGGAAACGAATGCAAGGGTGTTACAGCTTGTCTCTCAGTGGCCTTTCCGTCTGAAAGAACAGCCTGGACTCTCTCATATCTCTGCCTCACATAATGGCCTGTAGGCAGGAGGGTGTTTTTGTTCTGAAGGAGAAAGGCTTCAGGATGTTGCTGCTCAAAAGCAGTAGAAGTGGTTTCCTGCTGGGGGAAATGATCAAAAAGCCAGACAAGCCCCTGGTTGGACACTTTCCACTCGAATTCATACACACGCATACAGGTTCATGCACATGGAGCTGGACATGCAGAAGACGCGCTCCAGACCTAATCGAGGTGAGGATATTTATATGCATATTCTGGAACTGTTGATTGTTGTATATTTGTAATGTTTTAACTGATAAAAAAACATTATTTATAGTGGAACCATGTCATGTGACGTTTCTGTGCTCTGCTAAGGTTGCTTAACCGTTTTCAGAGGCGACTGGAAAAGCTCAGAGGAGTGGAGAGGTTTGGTTCAACACGTTTGATGAAGAGTTTGAAGATTCAAATGTCATGGACAAGTCACAACCATAGAAACCATGATTCTGAGTAAGTTGTCATTCCTCTGCACATAAACACAACAAAAACAACTAGAGATGCACAATATTGGCCAATACACCGAATGATACGTTCTTCATGTTATGTATGATTGACATTGGTACTGTTTTTTTTCTGAATAAATTTAAAATAAAGTTTTTAAGTTACATTAAGCATCGCAACATACCGATCAAAAGCTTTGGGTTGGTAAAATGTTTTATTATTATTATTAAATCTAATTTTTTTTTGTTGTATTTATTTTATAAAAATACGGTGAAATAATAAATATTGTTAAAAATTATTACAATTTAAAATAACGTGATTTATTCCTGTGATCAACGCTGTATTTTCAGCATCGTTACTCCAGTCTTCAGTGTCACATGACCCTTAGGAAATCATTTTAATATGATGATTTGATGCTCAAGAAACATTATTATTATTATCAATGTTGAAAACACTGCTTCATAGTTTTGTGGAAAGTTGATGCATTTTTTTTTTCAGGAAACCTAACCTAACCAATAGAAACCATTTGTAACAAAGTAAAAGTCTCTCAATTGCTGAATACAAGTATCAATTAATTTTAAAAATAAATAACAAAAATAAACGTTTTAATTATTGAACGTTAGATGATGACAAAGTTCAATTTATTACAAAAATGCATGCACAATTAAATATCCAATATCGACCAATACTGATTCTTACGAAAGGCAAAAATGTCCAATATTTTGTGCATTCCTGTTGTTAACCTACAGTTGAAGTGGATCAAAACCTTTCATCAAAAATATACATGAATGTTGAACAATACCCGTTCATGTCTTGGACCACTTCCAATGTTGACTACTGTATTTGAGCTATTTACCCTTGCGATTTGAGCAACTCTTTCCTCTTATTTTCCACAGACCTGACCAATGGGAGCTGCCAAATCCCTCTGGAAAATGACCGATTGGGTCTGACCTACATCTACAGCCTTGCCTTCTCTATCGGGCTCCCAATCAACCTGCTGTCCCTGTGGGGCCTGTACCAGCTCGGCCGGTCTGGTGGAGGCGGCTGCCAGCTGGTCTACATCCTCAACTTACTGCTTTCCGATCTTCTCCAGCTCCTCACCTTGCCTCTGTGGATCCTTTACCTGCAGGGAGACCACCGCTGGCCTTACGGGTCCGTGACGTGCCAGCTAGTGGGCTACGTTTTCTACGTTAACCTCTACGCCAGCGTCATTTTCCTTTGCCTCATCGCCCTGGACCGCTGTCTAGCAATCGTGTATCCTCTTAGCAGCCGCGGCGTACGGAAAGTGCGTGTGGCGGCCCTCTCTGGTGTAGTTGTGTGGACGCTGATATTTCTGTTCTGCCTGACTGGCCTGTACCCATCTGTGTTCGAGCCCCAGAGAGAGCTGTGTCTGGAGCAGTACCCTGTTAGCACCAGATACGCGTACTTCAAAATCGCCACAGTTGCGTTAGGGTTCCTGATGCCCTGCTCTATACTAGGGTAAGTGAAACGCACATGTTTTGCTGGGTCAATGAAATAATGCTCTTATTGGATCCAGATAGCCTACAATATGAAAAGGATTAGTTTTATACAAGTTATATTTTACTTTTTAGATGGCAATATTTACAATAATTTATTTTATTTACAAAAATAACTAATATTTAATACGCATTAAAAGCTATCTGTGTTTCCTTAGTTTAGAATCTCAAAGATTATGCACTCTTTCATTAGAAAAAAAAACTTGCCAGTGACATGAGAAAGCAAAAAAATTAAAATAATCGTTCAATAATCGTAATCGAGGTGACTTGTTCGATTAATCGTGATTATGATTTTAGCCAAAATCGTTACAGCCCTACCAGATCTTATAATCTATTTAAAAACGCATTGAGGGCCGGATTTACTAAAAGCTTGTGCCAGCGAAAACCCTGTTTTGATGTTAAAAAATGACTTTCAGGTTTTACTAAAGAAACTCAGGGAGGAAACAATGCTGACAAGGCTTGGACAGCTGTTATTTTTTTTGCGGCTGACCATTTCAAAAGCAAAATGAATGGGAGGAGAGTATTTAAATGGATACTGCAAGGTGATTTACATAAACAATAATATATATTTTTAAATGGTTAACAGTTACCACACAATACAAATATTAAAGCTAAAAAATATATGTATCCTGGCAACTTTCATGACAGTATAAATTCACTAAAAGCCTTCCTTCCGCTGGAAAAAGCAGACCCTGACCGTGAACAGAAACAGAAGTTACATTATTTCACCTTTAGATGGCGGCGAAAGACTTTATGAGTGAATCAGTCAGTAAAGAAGACTTTTATATTGAAAGGACTGAACCTTGTGAACAAAAAGCAAGACAATAATGCATGTCAGGGCACGGGAAAGCCCATAGAAATCCACAATAAAGGCTAGATGTCTTACGGTGGAGTTTCTATTGTCATCACCGGCGGCCATCTTGTCACAGGCAAGCTGATGTAAGATGAGTGATCAGCACGAACACAAATACTCTTATTTCGTTGAAATCTTGACGGATTTACAAACGGTTTGGTTTCTTAGAAACGTTATTAACGTGGCTATAATTCTGGATGATTATTTATTTATACATTTATTATTCATAAGTATGCAGTGTCATAACTACGTCTCTGATGTTTACAACAAACCAAACCACTTATCAAATCATCAGCACATGGGAGAGTGTGAACGAGTACTAGTCAGGTGAATCACCCTATCATTCTGAATGAAAGAGGTTCAACAACTTCAAGTGCAGAGAAGAAGGCTTCAGGACGTCCCAGGCTGTCTGGCGAGCACCAGGAGCTGCTCAATATTGTGTGGAGGAGGAGGAGGAGGAGGTGAGTGAGTGCATCCGCACAGTGAGGGAAAGACTTTTGGACAAGGGCCTGGTGTCAAGAAGGCCTGCGAAGAAGACACTTCTCTCCAAGAAAAACACCAAGTACAGAGTGCAATTCTCTAGGAAGTACAAGAATTGGACAGCAGAAGACTGTTGAGGAGTTATTTTCCCTTCTGGCTGTTTGGGACATCTGTAAAATCAATTGACTTTGAAAAGAAAAGGTGAAACCCTACTACGAGTCCTGAGACCGCCAGTGTGTGGGATTGCTTTTCATCCAAGGGAGTGGTTCTCTCACAATTCTGCCCAAAATCATTGTAATAAAGATTAGTATCAAAAATTCCACAAAAGCAACTTCTCCCAATGATCCAGAAGCAATTTGGTGAAGATTCATGCATAATGTCACAAAGCAATAATGATATTGAAATGGCTCGGAGATCATTACATTGAAATTTTGGATCTGTGGTCGGGCAACTCCCTGTATTTAATCACGAAGAGAACTTGTGGACAAGCAGAAGTCCTCAAATTGTGATCATCTACTCACAATGAGGAAAGAATGGATCGCCATCAGGCAGGTGAAGTGGCCAGAGTGAATTAAAGGGGAAATGAAGCAGTGAATCAAGTTTACATGATTTACATGATGGATTTCCAATATAATAAACAATTATATAAGAAACATTACAAATGTAAACATTTAGAAGAAAAAAACTTTGTATCTTTCGCCGCCAGGGCGCCGCCATTTTGCAGGTGACGTCACGGGGTTGGTTGGCTCAAGTTTAATAGGCTCTGGGCATTGAAAATCGCGACATCAAACTGTGTTTTGACCGCGAACGACTAATGTTAGGTACAGTTATTAGACAAAAAGATGACGTCTAATGTTGACAAACTGCACATAGAAACATTCGCGATGTCTGCCGTCATATTCCCGTCTCATCAACAACATGTTTCATATAATTGTTGATTATATTGGAAATCCATCTTGTAAATCATGTAAACTTGATTCACTGCTTCATTTCCCCTTTAAGAGATTGTGAAGAAGAAGGGTCAGCACTGTAAATATTTAGCCTGGTTAAAATCAGACCATTCTCAGTTGTAACTGAGTTATGGTCGTCATAGACAAATCGTTTCCTGAGGGGCGTTGCCAACGGACGTCGCGGGTAGACCTTGAAACCAATCAGAGCGATGAAAGAGATGACGTCCGCCAATAAGCTCAAAGAAGAAGAAGAGATGACGTATGCAGAGCGGCGGAGAAACATCTCCGAGTGTTGTTCTTTGCTCGGTTTTTAACAAAAAGGAAACGATTAAATCGCTTAAAACAGACGTGATAGCTGATTTGAACGAGTGATTTTCGACGGCGGCATCCAGCTTTGTAATGTAGGCAACAAAATCTGCTTCAAAATCCCAGTGCTGTCATCATCGTGTCAAGCCCGCCTCAACGTTTCTGATAGATACAGTCGGTTGGTCTGGGAACGCCCCGTCACGTGGTGTGAATTTAGCCCGTGGGGGAAAACATTGCCTTGGCGCTCATTGAAATACATGGGACAATCATGCCGAAGAGTTGCGGTGTCGTTTTCTTTACCACCAATAAACAAACAAATTATAAATTGAAGTTCTACAGCCTTTCTTACATACATACAGAACCGGATAGGAGGACAAAATGGCAAAATTAATCATATCTTATTAGATTACTGTGTGAGTAGAGGTCCGTGTGATATAGTAGTAGATGTTTAACTCGTATTAGGCAGTGGGCCAGATTTGTCTGACTTTACATCCCTTACGAAAAAGAACTATAGTAATCCTATGGCTATTAGTATTCTATAGTAGTGTATAATACTTCTGTGATGTTCTTTAATACCTATACTTCTAGGCTATGTCCCAAAATACTATAGTATTCCTATAGGATTAACGTTACTATAATATTTTGTCCTAAAATACTACAAGATTCCTTTAGTTGTTTTTCATAAGGGATGTTATTAGCGTTATCAGCTGAAGGTTATCAGACTGCAGTCTGTGAGAATTCGGATAACTGTCAGCAAAGTCCCTCTGCAACTTCGTAGCGACTACTAATGATCACCGTTTTACAAAAGGATTAATAGTTTGGAGTGAAGCATACGTACAATTGGTAAGTGACATGGTTTTATGGACTTATAGTAACTTATACGCAAGTTGATTGAGTTACAGGCTTGTGTTGCCGGTAGCTTCCGCGATGTCTTACCTGAAGATTCAACCAGATATAATAGTCTGGAAACGACACCTCCGGCCATTTGGTTGGGTCATTGACCCAGGTTTTAATTAAATAAGGGCAATCATAACCTATTACAGTTAATTTTGCAATGTACCGTTGCCGGTCGGCAGGCATAAATGACTCGCAATATGACATTTTTGTCATTCAAATACATAGGATAGTCGCGCTGCTTTCCCCCACACCGACCACGCCCCCCAACTATGACGCGTTGCCGACTGTATCTATTGGTGCCGCGATTTCGACGGATTGGAAATGGGCTTGAATGAGCTCTTTGCCAGACTAACTTTCAGAGCAAATCTAAGTCTGCCGGAAGTTGTCTGTGTTTTCCCACGCTAGTAAATATTGACTCTTTGCATATATTGAAAGGTTTTTACCAATGAAAGCCTTTCAATTAAATGCTTATCATTGTTTTCCAGTATGTATAGAAACTTATTTTTTAAATCTACAAAAACTGAAGCAGTTGGTCTTTGCAAAGCACAAAATTTATGACACTGCCAAAATATGTTAAGTTAAATAGTGTAAATAGTGAAAACACCTCTTTTCAGATTTTTTATTGTTAACTAAAACTATTAAAACATTTCTCTTAAATAAAGTAAAACATATTAGTTGAAAACCATAAACTAAACGAACATTAGAAATGTTGCCATGGCAATAAACTGAAATAAGTTTAACTTGAAATGGAAAAAAAAGTGCTAAAACTAATATTTAAAAAAAAAAATGAAAAAAGCACAATAAAAATATATACACAAACTTGGTGTTAGATGCAATTAATCAATTTGACAGCCCTTATATATTTTAAAACTATATTTTAGATTTTTACTATGAGGTTTCACTATTTAACTTAAGCACATACTTTTCACACAGCCCCAAGCATGAATCAGCATACCGGGAAAATGCCATCGCAAAGATGACAAACACAGATACAATGTCTGTCTCTTGAAAGGAATGTTACTTTAACACAATCATAACCGTATCATTCTTAACCTTCTGGCCTTTCTTTCCTCTTATTCACGTTCAGGTACACCTCGGCCCGGATCGGGTTGACTCTACGAAACTCGCCGTCTGTCCCGGATCACGAACGCCGCAGGATCGTCGCCACCCTGGTTGTCATCACCGTCATCTTCATTGTCATTTTTGCTCCTTATCATCTAGTTGTCGGCTACAGATTTGTCACCCTGCTTCTTACGGAGAATAAAAAAGACCAATGTTCAGTGGAAGTTTCCCTCTACCTTTACTATCGAATCTGCTATGGGCTCACAAGCCTCAACACCCTCCTAGACCCTCTTTTCTACTTCTTTCTTTGCAATGACGCTCGCCAAGAGCTTCGCCGATCTCTTTTCTGCCCCTGCTGGGGTCAAAGGGCACACCGGGGATCGCGAGTACAGACTCTTCCCAAAGGCTGTGCAGATGTTTAGCTGTCGTTTTGTGCAGATGCTAATCAGGGGTTGATGTCTTTGTAAGGCATGACGTGAACACGTCTTATCAGGCTGAGATTTGACTAATTACCTGTCGTGATGTCATTAAGACATGACTGGTATGAGACATTTGCACGTCTTCTGGATCACTGTCACTGGGGAATACACACCTCTAGTGTTTAGACTCCTACAGCCTGAGGAGACTCGAATACAATTGTCTCTATATTGCTGAAAATGCTTTATAAGTTCAGTTGTAACCATTTAAAATTTGGGGTTTTTAAAGAAGGTCTCTTAAAGGGATAGTTCACTTTGAAATTAATTTTTGATATGTTTTATCTTACCTCAAGGGCATCCAAGATGTAGGTCTTTGTTTCCACAGTATTTTCAATTTTGATATTTTTTAGGTCAAACCGTTCTTGTCTGTCAGTCATATAATGGAGGTCTATGGTCACCACCTCAAAGAGCATGCACAGAGAAGTCCAGATTAAACATGATTTAATGACTCGTAAATGTAAGTACACATTGATGGCCTAAGATACAAAACGAGCGGTTTGTGTGAGAAAACGAACAGTATTTATATCGTTTTTACCTCTTGTTACCACAGCCACAAATCGCCCTTGCCCTCAGATCACTTGGACGTGGCTGTGATTACAAGAGGTAAAAACGATATAAATACTGTTCGTTTTCTCACACAAACCGCTCGTTTCGTGTCTTAGGCCGTCAATGTGTACTTACATTTACGAGTTATTAAATCATGTTTAATTTGGACTTCTTTGTGCACGCTCTTTGAGGTGGTGACCATAGACCTCCATTATATGACTGACAGACAAGAACGGTTTGACCTAAAAAATCTCAAAATTGAAAATACTGTGGAAACAAAGACACCTACATCTTGGATGCCCTTGAGGTAAGATAAAACATACCAAAAATTAATTTCAAAGTGAACTATCCTCCCTTTATCCTCGCCAAGGCTGCACTTATTTGAGGAAAATGCTGTAAAAAAATGGCTTAAGATGTTTTTTATAATGTAATTTATTCCAGTGATCAAAGCTGTATTTTCAGGATCATTACTCCCGTCTTCAGTGTTATCCTTCAGAAATCACTCTAATGTGCGAATTTCTGACTAACAAACATATTCTTCATATTTTGGAGGAAACCATGATACGTTTCTTAATATAAAAGTCTTTACTGTCCCTATTGATCAGTTTTGTGCGCCCTTGCCTTGCTAAAGAAAAGTATCAAATTATTTCTTTCAGAAAAAAAAAAACAAAGACCCCAGACTTTCGAATGGTAGTGTATGTATTTTGTCCAACATCTCTAAAAATCTGTGCTATGCTAGTTGTTTTAACAAAAACACTAATCATGTTGAATGACAGTGATAAGTAAAAAAAACAAAAAAAAAACAAGATAGAAGTGTCTCAGGAGTCAGGATTATAGAGAAGGCTGCATAAAAACCATAGACAGTAAAAAATAAAAACCAAAGACCCTGGATCAGAGCGACTTTTAAAGTGGTTTTAAGGATTTACAGTTCATGTCTGACACCTCCTGGAAGATACAAGTAAAGGCAAGCAATGTGCCATGCTGAGATAAGAGTTTGTTGAGCAATGCGCTGAGAACAGAGAGTGAGACCTGCATGTGCTTGCTATGGATTCATTTACACGATGGGCTGAAATGTATATCAATATGTTCACTTCCGCAGGAAACTGGCTAATATCCACCTTTTCTCCAGTGCGGTTTAAATTATGGGAGGCACTTCCGGTTTGGGAAAGTTCCACTCAAAAAGACTGTCACAAATCATTTCAAATAATAAGGTTGCACTACAAATATTCATTATCCGTTAGTTTGAATGAACGAGCTGTTAAATTTCCTTCATGTTCTATTTTTAGGCGTCAGGATGATAAAGTGATGGTAACATTGATCTATGGCGACGGGTCTTTTCAGTTACTGCATTCATTCATTCCTGACATTTTCTCTTTCCGCTCCCTTTGTAATTCCGTTGTTATAGTAGATATGAAAAGGTAAAACAAACTGCACATTTATGGTCTTCCCTTCCGATTTATTTTACGGTAATAATTCAATGAAACAGTCTCTTTTTTCTACTCAAGTCTGTTTGTTTTCACACGGATGCTTTAAAATATAACTTTCTCCCCTTTAGTTTTCACTTCTAATCCTCTTTAACAGTGTTTTTAAAGCATGTAGCTTAAATCAAATATTAATAATAAATCACTTTGAAATGATCGCACTGTTCCAGCTAATGAACATCTGTGATTAAAGCAAGCAACAGCCTATCGCTGCGAAAATAGGCTTTTGAGATTATTCGGGGTCTGTTGTAATTTGTTAATCCTTTTACACTTTTAAATGTCTTTGTAATGGTTCAATGGAGAGTAGAATAATGTTATCTTTAAAAAAATACATTCGTTGCGAACCTTTCCCTGATAGTTTACAGTTAACTTGGTTGCTCCCCACAATCCGCGCAAAGCATCACGGGGCGTAAACAAAAATTGATTTTTTTTTTTTTTTTTTTTTTTTTTTTTTTTTTTACAGTGTATGGGATTTTCAAAAATATACTGATCTACAGCTTTACTGTGCAGTTTATGCCACTTACTGTTTTTGAAATAGAATGTGAAACAGTATGAATATCAATAAAAACTTATAAACACTAATCTTAAACAAATAAACAGTAATCTGTTGTTTTCTGTTGTTTATATATTTAATTTAATTTTTTTTTTAATTATTGCAAATTTAATTTAGTCACAACCTAAAAAAATATTTGGAAGTTCTGAATACATTCAATCAGTAGTTCCTGATTGTGTATGTTACGTTGCATGACTTATGTATGATTCTACATAAAACATGTTAAAATAATACAACAATGAAGTCAGAAATCAATCACACTGATGTTTGTCAAAATATATTTCTTTTATTTAGAACCTTGTGAGAACAGACATACAGTATATGGACATTATGGCATGGTGCATTGCCCTCCATCTAATGTCACTATTTGCATGTGTTTAGAGTCCTTTCATAAAAAGGGGAGCTTTGTGTTGTTTTCTTTGGCTAGTCATCACAGTTTGCTTGCTTGCTTGCGTCATGCAAAATGACAACTCTGCCTCAGTGAGAAAAATCTGCAAATCATTATATTAGAATGATAAGCGACACTGAAGAAATGTCAATAACTTCCAAATCTACATTATATCCCTTTACAGTGTCTTGGATCTCTTCATATATCCTCTGACGTGTGACACATGTCCTCCAACATCTGCTGTCTTCAGCTGTTACACCGTCAACCCCCTCCTGAGTTCCTCACCCTCTCATTTGGTCAAACTGTTTGACATGTCATTCCTCACACATCAATTAGTCGACCAACATCCTGGATCAATTCACACACATGTGTTGTTAAGTGACCTATCCCAGACAATTTGATGTACTTTTTAGTTAACCTTAAAAGCACTTTTGTTTCCTAGGCTATATGAGTCCAAATGTGCAACAGTCATGAAGATTTCACTATCCAACATCAGTTAAAAAAAGTATTGCAAGAATATAGTTCAGTGGTTATGCAGGGATTTGCTTACATATGGTATTTTAAAGTTGCCATAAAGTATCTCAATTATTTTTTCAGCAGCGTATCAATTACGCATTATGTATCATGCGGTTGCATAAGGTGTTATAACAGGCCCCAAATCATGTTCAACAAAAATGATCATAGGCTATTTTCAATAATATTTTAAATGAGCACTGATTCAAAAAGAAATACACTGAGTATTTTAACTGTTTGACATATATAATCAATCGGTTGTGCCTAATGCACCAAAGTGTGTTTTCTGTATCTACATATCAGTTTTTGTGAATCAGTCAAAAACCAGAGCCACCCAAAAATAGCAACTAACTACACAACTGGCTATAATGAGAGTAATACAAACCCGGCGAACGAGGATGCGCGAACACTGGGTCCGCGTCGCCCGGCCCCCGACAATTCCACCAATCACGGTGCACGACTGTGCGTGAGTGGCAGCTCAGAATACCAATCGAGTGCACAAACTCTACAATGGGCGTGGCTAGAGTGGAAATGGGTGGGGATTTCGGGGTCATTCACAGACAGTCTTGCTGCTCCACTCTGACGGCGTGTGTTGGAGGGGAAGGGTGAAGCTGCACAGCAGCACTACAGTCTAATTAAAGAACCAACGTCCCAATCAACGGCGTTTTCAGACGTAGTAGAAAGGATTCTCACGAAAATCATATGCAAGGAACCGTGAGTTCAAGTGCCAGAAGGCGTCGGTGACCGTTGATCAACGGCTGCGCTAGCTGTTGTGCTAACACTCGTCATCAGACATCATCAATCCAATCCGTTTCTAACTGTATCACCGCGAGCTTCTCTCGCGCTTTAACCAGCAGTCATTGAGTTGATTTGCCCCGCTGGAAAGGGTGTTGGAGCTGAACCCCTTCCTGTGGCTCCTGTGCTCCCCCGTCACCTTTGCCCCCCTCTTTCACCCGAAACACTGGACACACACAAGCGGCCGGAGAACGGCGAGAGGCCCGTGAAGCTGGGGGTGGTACCGGACTCGCTCGCTTTAGGAGCGCCTAAAGAAAGGCTCAGTCGTGGGGACTCGCTGACCAACATGGACGGGTTGGCTGTGGAGGTGCGCGGCTCCAACGGGGCCTTCTACAAGGTAACCTCATTTTAAACGACAATATGAAACCATAACGGTCAAGTGTACCCATTCAAGAACGAGTCGGGACAGCTCAGGTGGGATGCAGTGATGTGTAACGTTATCACTTTCAAAGAGGCCCGAGATGTGCTGGTGTTTTGGACCTGCTCGCTCGATAGTCATCGGCCTGTTTGGATTGATTGTTTGTTGTATTTCTAAGCTGCTAAACAGGGGAAACACTGAGTCCTGTTAGCAGGTCAGCTAATGAGTCTATTGATGAGAAAAGCCAATGGTAGTGTCTCAATCTAGTGAGATGCCCTACCTAGACAGCACTTCTGGGCATCACAGGCGCTTTCATAAGAGGATGGGTGGCTCACTTTGTGTTTAGACACATGGGTCTGGTTTCACAGACAGGGCTTAGATTAAGCCAGGATTAAGTTCAATTAGCTTTGATAAACGTTACTGGTGTGAATGTTGAGAAAAAACAATGTCATGTTTTAAGTTATGTCGGTGCAGGTTAGTTGATGCAGCTGAAACATGCATTTCTGAGCCTTGTCTGTGAAACCAGGGGATGATGGGACACTCCATCAGTGCTCGAAGGGATAGTTGGCCCGAAAATGAAATGCATCATCCTCATGTTGTACCACAAAAGGAGATGTTAGGGTGTTATTCACTGTTACTGCATCTTTTTTTTTTAGGGAATAATTCTTATGTCATCATTCTTCCAAAATCACGACTGAGTTTTCATTTTCGGATGAACTGTGAACTTAATAAGACATGTGCTTGTTTTATTTTGTAATATAGGCCTGGTTTCACAGACAGGTCTTGGATTAAGCCTTAGTTTAATTAGGACATCTGAGTTTTTTTATTAACGTGGCATTACTGGTTTGTATCTTGAGACAAAACAATGGCACTGACATTTTTCAAGAACAGTGTTGGCTAGTCTGGGACTCATCTTAAGCATTGTCCGTGAAGCTGGGGGATCAAGTGTGTCGGCCTTATATATGCATATTGGTGCCATTGGTTGTGTTTTGTTTTTTTGATCCGCTTGAGTTCAGGTTAGGCTATTGGGAAACCACTCAGTCCAGCTTTCGTAAGGAAAACCGAATGGGCCATTTTGACCAAAGTCTCTGCTGTTGCCCATGGATTAATTCAGGTTGTGTTGACTAGTCCCAGATGATGAACCAATCACAAGGTGTTTAGGTATTGTGACCCTCCAGTTGTATCAAACTTCAGCTTCAACGACACAAATGTTTCAGTGATTTCATCCATCTCTGTGGAAGTGTGAACGGAGAATTCAACGCGACCCTGATGGAACAGACCACATGAAGCTTTTTTTGTTGTTGTATCGACATGGATATTGTTCCATCGGTATATAAGGATATACTATGTAGTGGTAAGGTGACAGTGACGGCTGTTTGAAGCTGTAAAACTGTGAGGGGCCGAAGCAGGTGCGAGAGGAACAGGTGATCTCTCTGCTGACACCCAACACTCTGCAAACCCCCACCACTATTACGAACACACTCCTATCTGCTCTTATCCTTTGCTCTCTTTATGCTGGTGCACATTATATGACTTTCCAGTTCTAGACAAAACGTGGCGATTGGTCTCTGTGGTCGTGGATCCTAATCAGTGGATCAGTTTTACGACCAAAGATAGCCTTGATCATTTAAAACTTCAACACCATCATCTCTGTGTGTGTTTGCTACTACGACCCTCGTGGTCTGACTACCCAATAAGCACATGCAACATGAAATGGCGTATTGATCAAAACTTAAACCTACTTTCCTCAAGCTTAGTTTCCAAGATTGCCATGGCATTTTCCCAAGCCATTCCCAAGCGTCCTAGGGGTGTAACAATATATCGTGTCACAATATATCGCAATACAAAAATGCAAAAACACGTAATGTGGATAGTGACAATGTGTCGTGGATAGTCCCCCCAAAATAAAAAAATTCAAATTTTCGGATTTTTAATTTAAATACTACAATAAACTTCTATATATAATGTATAATAATGCAATTTGTGGGTCCTGATTAGGGTTGGGTATCGAGAATCGAGTATCGATTGAAATCGGGACTAACTTTTTGTTTTTCCCGGAATCGTTCAAAAGTTAAAATTTCGGTTCCTAGTTTCAATATTCACAGTCCGCCGAGCGGAAGAAGAAACCGCTGAACAACACCAACGAAGAAGCGTCTACCGGAAGTGTTGGCATAACCGCGCGAGTCAAACATGAGTAGCTTACGTCGGCGGTCCAAAGTGTGGCTTCACTTTTCTAAAAATAACGAAATCTCGGCAAAATGCTAAATTTGTGACAAAAGGAGTATTTGTGACAGAAGGAGTATTTCCTTCAGAAAGGATTATTTCCTTCAGAAAGGCCGTTGGTTAGCAAGGTTAGCTAAACTATTTTGACCCTGCCTCTTAGAAGAATCGGAATCGAGAATCGTTAGGAACCGGAATTGAAACAAGGAATCGGAATCAGAATCGTTCAAATTCAAACGATACCCAACCCTAGTCCTGATAATGCCAAATGTCTAATGTTACAAGTAAAAAATGGCCGACATTACTTTAAATATATATTATGCACTCCAAAATAATTCATTTTTACATTTATTAATTTTAGCTGACGCTTTTATCCAAAGCGACTTACAATTGCGATATATGTCAGAGGTCAGACGCCTCTGGCGCAACTAGGGGTTAAGTGTCTTGCTCAGGGACACATTGGCGTCTCACAGTGGATTCGAACCCAGGTCTCTCACACCAAAGGCATATGTCTTATCCACCCCATAATTCAGTATGTTCAGCTTCAGAATCATTAATATTTTTATTCTGGTGTCACCATTGTCCTTGGGTTACAAGCACCAACTCCAAGCCTATTCATTTGAACCCACAATTTAGCATTTTAATAGATACCATATGTCTTGGAGTATCGCAATAATATCATGATATGTATCTAACCGTGATACGAGGGTATCTTTACACACCTACCGCGTCCATATTCATCTTGTTCTGTTTGTTCACCACTAGCTCACACTGATGACGTTTTATTCTTCTATATTAACTTGCGTCATAGCCCACGATTCAACATCTGTCATCATCGTACAGTCTACATGCATGTCGTATCCGAGATTATCAAATCCATGTCGTAACTGATCTTATCACCAAAATCACACAGTGTGTTTAGCAGGCATTGCTTTTCCCTTTCCTGACCCATCATGTTGTTATGTAAAAGATGATGAGTTCTTGCCAATTTAGTCCTGCCTTTAGTTTATTTTTTTATAGACATATTTAGCATTTTTGCTGTTAGCACTGTTTAACATGAAATCCCCCCCAAAAAACAAGTGTTTCCCTTCTGTTCTGGGATTGAAGATACACTTGAAGTGCAACTACATGTGTCGTGCATGTAACCAGGTTGTGAGTAGAAACATTTTTCGAACTTTAGCATGTTTCGAACTCCTTAGGCAATTGAAGGGGAAAGTCCGCCCCAATATTCAGAGTATTGATCAATGCAACTGATGTGTGCAATGCATATTATAACTTTTGCATGTCTTGAAATATGTACTTTCAGTGTGGTCTACACCAGATGCCGTATGGGTCATACAAGTTTGACCCATGCTTTTTTGCTTAAAGGTGAAGACCCAACTTTATGTATGTTTTGTAAAATTCCTTTATCTGTCAAACATTTTTTATTAGATTGTCCTGGACTTAACGCAAGCCAAAGGCTATTTTATGAAGTTACTTCTTTGAAGGACATATTTAATGAGATTATGCCTGAAAAGGTTCTGGATTTTTTTTATCATATGTTAATTTAAAACAAAATATATTGTATAATATGACTTCTTGTTTATATTCGTTTTGTTTTTGTTGTATTTATATGATGATTGTAGTTTTGTAAATTAATTTTTGCCATGAAAATAGCTCTGACTGCTGCCATGGCATGAAATAAAATAATCTGAATCTGTACTTTCAGTTTTGTTGTCAAGCAGGGTTTTGTTTTCCCCAAAGTAACAGTCTTTTAATGTGTAAGACCTTTTCATCAGTTTCAAATGCAGTTTAACATCTAGGTTTCTGCACGGTTCCCCAATGCGGGAGTGAATGGAGGTCTCCGTCATACGTCAGTTATCTGCAGTCTGTAGTGTCACATTCCCAGATCGGCCACCCTAACGTAAGCCTCCATGCCTCTCAAGCGGTCAGCAGACTGAGATATGTAACTTCACAATCTAGTATGTTGGAATGGCTTCAACACGCACGGGACGGTCTATATTAAAAGCCTACCCTGTTGCTTTTCAGATTTTGCTGACTTGTTGTAAGCAGGGATTTAATATTGAGCTAGTTATTGTACATGATTTTAGATCCATAGTTTTTTACTAGATCAGTGCGGCCTTGACCGACATACAGAAAGAAATACTGTCTTTCTCAGTCGGATAATGTGGATTTGGCAGCCGTGAGAGTGCAGATTCATCTATTAGTCGCGTGTGTGTGTGTGTTCATGTGTCTTGTGACTCTAAATAGGCCTGCTTATGCACTTGAGCTAGATTTTCTCTCTTCCAAGCAGGTTACATGTCTCCCCGTCCCATATTAGGCATTGTCTGTATGTAGCTAAGCTATGATGGGGGTGGCGGCGACTGGAGCAATCGTGTTTTTGGCAGCTCGGGTAGATTTGTGGAGGTAGGAGGAGTGATGGATGAGGAACAGATTTTGAGGAGGGGACTCTGGGTGCCTCCCTCCAACTCCCCTATTACGTCTCGCATTCACAAGCTCTCGCATGCTACACCTGTGCCGTTCTTGAGGCCACGTTTGTGGCACATTTCTTTATCGACGTAAAGAATTAGTTCACTTCACCCTCAAGTTGTTCCAAACCTGTATGAATTTCTTTCATCTGCTGAAGAGTGTCTGTAACCAGACAGTTGACTTCAGTAGAAAAAGAAATGGGGTTTTATAAAAAAAAAAAACACATTTATACAGGTTTGAAACAACTTGAGTGAATAAATGATGGCAATTTTCATTCTGAAGTGATGTAATGGCACAGGTTTTGGGTAACGCTTCCTTTTACAGTACAGTACTTGCCTAGAAAGTACTGGCTAATATAAGGTAAGTACATGGAACAGGGGTAGGTTTAGGGTTAGTACTAGTTATTACCCAGTAATTGTAGTTACTATAAGTACATAGTATTTACATGGGTAACTGGAGTGTAAAAGGAAGCGTTACCCAGGTTTTGTTTGCAAATGTAACTCCCTAAGCAACAGGTTGTAACGTGGTACTATGGAGAACTGTTGTGCTGATCATATTTTCTCTTCTTTTTTTAGGGTTTCATCAAAGATGTACACGAAGACTCCCTCACAATAGTCTTTGAAAACAAGTAAGTTGGCCGAGCTTTTCCATGCTCTTTCCCGAAGCCTTTATCGAGGATCTGCTTGTTGAGTGTTCACTCTCTGCCACCTACACAACCAACACACACATAAAGTTAGCCGAGAGGAGCTTCAACCTGTTTAAATGCGCTGTATGCATCTCTGGGGTCTTCGCAATGGTACTGCAGGCTGGCCTGTTACCAGTTACCTTAAAATATTTATATAAAATATATAAACGCACACACTACCATTCAAAAGTTTGGGGTCATTACTATTGTTATTTAGCAAGGATGTGTTAAATTGAACAAAAAGTGAAATGTTGAAATGTTATAAAATATCTAAACTTGTGCTGTTCTTTTTAACTTTATTAAACAGTATTGGTTTCAACATTGATATCCACACGTTTCCTACGCCCCATGAGGCCTTGCGTCAAAAGTGGGCGCGACTTCCGGTTCGAAGTAAACAAAGCGCGACTTGACATGCTTAACACTCGTTCATTCAACAGTTGACAGTGATTCAAGTTATAGCGATCCAAACTAGCTAACGATGTGGGAACACAACCTCAACGAAATTCAAAAGGGTGAAATAACAGTACCTTTACCCTCCGCCGTAGTTGATTGGGAGTATTATAATAACATTATTAATAATCAATACTCATCAAGGCATGGTGACAGACAGTTGTGCGAGCTGACAAACAATTAAAATAAAAAATACACACTTAGTCATTGTGCTTTGGAGTTTATTCAAAATTATAAATGAATGTGCTACTTGAATACATTAACTGGCACATTTGGTATTCTGTCAACACAGGCTTTGATCCTGAGTTTAGGTGTAACATCAGTAGCGAACAGCCAATCACATGCTGATGGAGTTTATCGAATATTAAGAATTTAAACAAATGTACACAGGAAGATTCGTCGTCTTTTGGGAGGTGATGGAAACTACAGTCGTTGGCAGGATCAGAGACGGGCTCTGGCAGGATCACTCTGATTTCGTTTTCAGCTTATGTTCAAAACAATCACGTTTAAGCCACTGAACTAGTTTAGTCCGGTTATAAATACAACCGCGAACAGCACATGTTGTCCCTGAGCTCCGTAACGACATCTCTCATAAAGATTTGCGTCTTTAAATAGTAAAATAATTCTCCGAAAAACAGCTAGCCTCTTCGCTAACTAACACACAAAATACCATTGGAATGCTACTTCCGCCGCGTCACCGGAAGTTTCACCCACTTTATTTTTTACAGGAGCGCCCATCGGAAACTTGTGGATGGGCCTAATGAGAAATGTTAATTGAGCAACAAATATTTTCTGAAGGGTCACGACAGACTGGAGGAATGATCACAGGATTGATCATAAAATGGAAACATTTTAAATTGTAATCACATTTCACAATATTACTGTATTTTTGATCCAATAAAGGCAACCTTGGTGAGCATAAGAGAATTCTTTCAAACACATTTTAAAACGCCAGCAACCAATCGTAATATAGACGTCCTTCACACTGGCTGATTTCAGAGAAATACACAATGTAAACTTTCGTTCCTACCAAAACATTAGTTCCGAGAAAACGGAAGAGAAGCTTATAATCGCCATTGCTGTTTCCTACTGGATTTGTATCATTTATGACATGATGTTGTTTGCTTATAGGGACCGCATGAGCGCAACTTTTATTAGAAATAGTTACGAACGCTCCTTTTAAAGCGGGAATGCAATTCATTTGCCCATGGTGACGCCGATTTGACCGCAAATAATAATAATAATAATAGCTAACTATTTTTTCACGACCAAATCGGGTATAAAAATGCTGTCATTATAAAAGGTTTCTTCAATGTATTGCTTGTTTATTACATTTCATGTTGTGACATCCTGTTCTCCCTGCAACGTCAGAGCGTTCAAAGCGTCAACAAGCTTCCCCCGTACTATTTTGACAAGCGGTGTGAACGTACAGTAGTAGACTTCTAAAAAAATTGAAAATGGTTGTATCCATTATTTTATGCATTTCATTAATTCTAGTATGAACGCACAAGTATTTATTTAAATGCATGTAAGATGGGGTCATATCTGATTTGGCACATCTCACTATCAGCTTGTTTTCTTTAGCGCTTAACTGATATAGATCACTTCCACTTTTCCTTTAGCCATGTGTCTCTCTCAGCACCTGTGCTAACTCTCTCGGGCATCTGTCACACAGCTCTTTATAGTTCTCCTGTACCCCTCCATGTCACCCTACTCCTCCCATCTTTATCTGTCTTTTTTCTTCTTCTCTCACTCCCCCGTTTCGGGCGTACTGAGATCCATGAATAGCCTGGTGAGGTATGCAGGCAGGGGAGTGTGGGACGGTAGCCCTGCCATTCTTGGGATGGTTCTGCTTACCCGTGGACAACCAGGAGCACGATCATCTCTCTGATACCATGTGCTTTGGATTTTATTAGATTTGTGTTTAATGGGGTCTAACTAACACTGATATGGTCAAACAGATTCAGTGTAAGTGTTCATGGCACTTATTCAAAGTTGTGAACTTTACATGTGCATCTGAGAGCATATGTTGTGCTCATTTCAGTAGAGCCACAATGAACCCTGTTGACACCCCTCGCACATTTACTCCTCCACTAGAGTGAACCTAAATTGACACGGACATCTGCCAGAGGAAACGTATTAAACTGTGCTGCTTCTCGCTGCGTTGGCTTCGTGAGCGCTGGGTTTTTGGGGATGGGGTGTCAAAGAAGTGAAACTGGAGTTGTACCTGTCGTTAGAAAGCTGACTGACAGCTCCCTCTGTTTGTGTGTGTGTGTGTGTGGCTTCTTTCCACAAGTTGGCAACCGGAGAGACAGCTGCCGTTCAGTGACGTGAGGTTGCCGCCCACAGCCGATTACCACAAGGACATTTGTGAGGGAGATGAGGTGGAGGTAGGGATACACTCACTCCTGAAACCCTAAAAAAAGCCCCCGAATATGAATCATCACTGGACAAATAGACCTTTGAAATGCTCTACAAAACATGACTCTCATCTTACATTTACTTTGTTCTAGGGATGCACGATATATCGGCCAGGATATCGGTATCGGCCGATATACGTTCATTTTTAATGTTATCGTTATCGGCCCGGTAAGAAAATGTGGCCGATATATTAAAGCCGATAAATAATGTATTATTCCCTTCAGCTGAGACACTTGTTGATCACTGTTTGTTTTTGAATTTCTTGAAATATGATTGAAATCTCTTCAAAAAAATGAAAATTCGGTTCGGGACAACATGTGCAACGCAAATCTGTCATATCGGCTATACAACACTATAATGAGAACGTCATTAAAATTGTGTGCTTGGGACATGGATTTAATTGTGAGACTTTTGTTTTTGTAACGAGGCTGTCAAAATTAGATAAAAATTTGGATTTAAGTTTATCGGCCGATATATCGGTTATCGGCTTTCAAATATAAAGAATTATCGGTATCGGCCAGAATTTTAATATCGGTGCATCCCTACTTTGTACATTATGGGTCATTCTTTAAAGACAAAATGAAATGCCTTTACAACACATTTAACTTTAGTAATATAACGTACTTTTCGAGTGAAAAGCAGGAAATTATGTATAAAGGGGCTTTATTTATTATGAGATTTTGTCCATGGGATTTGATTGGATGCCCATGCAGCCTTATTGTGAGCAGAAAAGTAATTTAATAGGTGACAAAAGTTGTTGACTACAAGATATTTTGTCTATAATAGTAATAATAAAAAATGATTTAATGTTGTATTTAAGAGTGTTGACGTTGTTCATTCTGATTTATACCTCTTGTCTTTCCATCAATATATTCAAAATACTTTCACTGCAACACCTGTACTATAACTTAAAGGGGTCATGACATAATCAAATTTGCTTTTGACATGTAAGAGGTCTTTGAACCATTAAAACTTCATGCAAGTTTCATGGCTTATGACGTCGTCCACATTATAAATAACTTAGCATTTATTAAATCAAACTCCAAAATCGGTTGGTTTTGATATTGCGTGATCTGTGACGTCACACGGACAAATACGTTTGTAAAAATGTTTTCTTTGGCGGCGCTGATACTGTTTCCTATGGAATGACGTTACCCAATCATAACAGTGGCCGTTTACTAACAAAAATAACATTTGGAAATAATCCTTTTGCTGCATATATATTTGTTTGTGTGTGTGTATTCAAAAACTTATCAACATTTAAAAGTGAACCTCAAGGAAAATTTTAAAATTAAATTAATAAAAATCCATGTCATGACCCCTTTAAATTGAAAAACATGATAGATCACTTGATATTGCTTTTTTGTATATTTGTTCCCATAACTGGTCTTGGCTGAAATGTATGTTTATGATGCCTTCTAGCATTTTTAATAACTTATTTTAAGTGTTTTATTGAGTCTATGTTATTATAGAAGTTCAATATCTACCATTTTTGTTATTGGTCATAAGAAAATAATTTTCTGTTCATTGGTCAAGTCAAAATTTATTAAGCAATTTGGATGCAGCACAGATAGACAGACACATACAGTACATCATAACAGTAATAATAATGTAATAAATACATTTGGCAGATATTGTGTAAAATAAGTGTTTCTGCAAATCTCAATTGCCATCATAAAATTATTTTATAATATATATTGGGCATCCTAATCTAGGTAATGGTGTCCTCCATTTAAGAAATCGGTTAATCGCCTTCCCCCTCTCTATCCTGCAACACACTCCTTTTACCATACAAACAAATACCAATTAATTTCCTGCTTTCACACACACTTCTTTTCAGTGCTTTCCTTACACACACTCACCTGAGCTGGTCTTTCTCCTGCAGGTTTACTCCAGAGCCAACGAGCAGGAGCCCTGCGGCTGGTGGATGGCGAGGGTGAGGATGATGAAGGGAGAGGTAAGTTCGGCCCAAATGAGCAAGCTGTGCACATGAGCATGTGTTCGACATTTCAAGGGTTCTGACTCTCATTATTCACGAGTCCAAAGTGAGTGTATGAATATTGATGAAGGGTGTTTCGGGTCTGTTTGAGACTTGCTGCTCCAGTAGGGCTTTAATGTGCACATCTGCTGCACTTGACCCAGTTACCCACAACCACTAGAGTGATCTCATTTATTGAGTCAGACTGAACCCCCTGGTGATCTAATAGTAGATCGCCTTAAGCTCTTGAATATGTGTTCAGTCTATACAAGCAAGATAAATAAGCGCAAAATGTAGGTCCATTTAAAGACATCTGGAATCTTCTATATGAATCCCGGATGCTCTGGTTTCAATATTAGAATTATTTAAATTAGGAATACAGTGACGTGAGACTACAATGGAGGCGTTTCAGGGAGTTCAGAAACGGAGACGCTAGCTGCGCAAATTGAAATTGCTAAATGGAAACGCGTCCATTTTGCAAAAATTCCCGCTTATCACAAAAAAGTTTTTATGCTCGCATGAGGAGGTTTTTCAGGCAATTCAAAACGGCAATGGAAACGGGTTTTGCGCATTTACAGTCACCTGACTTAGAAGACGCGGTGCGTTTAGGGTCCGTGTCCGCAAATAATAATAATAATTAAGTGTTTCTGCAAATATATGTACATCTCAATTGCTATCATTAAATAATTTTATAATATATATTGGTCATCCTAATCTAGGTATATGTCTTCCATTTAAGAAATCGGTTGACCAAAACATGCCACCTTCCCCCTCTCTATCCTGCAACGCACTCCTTTTACTCCTTTACACACTCCGAATCGAAGGCTAATACTTGATTATGTAATCTGTTTGAAAATTTCTCTCTAAAGGCGCATCCGGATATGGAGATAATTGTTTAGCCGACACTGATTTAGGAAAACAATAGTTTATTAATAATGAATTAAAATGCCTTGTTATTTTTTCAGACACATTTATTATAGCCTATTACTCGCCTATAAATCCCCTTTCTGTAGGCTGTGGTTACGGCTCTTCTCATTCAGATGTGGGACAAATATCATTTCCAGGTTCTAATTTGGCCTTAGAAAAATAGTAAAACCTAAAAAAAAAATTCATATTAATTTGTGAATATTTTAAATGTTTAATAAAGGGGCAAAAAGTCATAAACAAATATTTGAAAATTCATCTAATATATATATTTTTATAAATATATTTGTATTATATTTATTTATTTATTTATATATATATATATATATATATACACATACATACATATAGTACATACATATATATATATACACACATACATACATATAGTACATACATATATATATATAATTTTTTTTTTTTTTTTTTTTTTTTTTTTTTTTTTTTTTTTTTAGGTCTACAGGTCAAACTAAAATGTTGGTGTTCAACTTCGCTTTTTTAATTATAAAACAACCGTTAATTTTTCGTTTTGCAATTATGGGTAAAATAAGGTAAAACGAATGCAAGTACACACAGACCGTTTGGACAATATGAGACAGAGTTCTTTATTAAATTCATTAAAGGAACAGGATTAAAGATTACAGGAATAGCCTACTGGACTCAAACCTCAAAGAAATGGCGCAATCAAGACCTCGGAGCAGAAATGAGGGAGAAACACCCAGGAACTCCGTGTCTTTCCCTGCCTTTAACGCTTGGATAACACACCACGTCTCCTTCCATTAATAATAAAAATGTTGTCTAGTGCGGTGGCTGTGATAAAGGTTATAAACCTACCATGTCCATTGCCTTGATTTTTGGAATGACTTATCGCAAGAGGGAAAAAAAGAAGTTTTAGTCGCATAACATCGGTTAATGGAAACGTCGCCGTTTTATCGACATTTAGAAACTTATTTTTGAGCTAATCAGTAATGGAAACGCGCCTACTGATATAGAGAATAACTCCCACTGAAGGGACTTAGCAGACCTTTTCCACGCTCAAAAAGCATCATTACACACTAAAGAAAAATCATAATGAGTCCTCTATAATACTAACACACTCTACCAACACTACTTAAACTCCTCAGAGCTTGTGTCTGCCACTGTCACATGTTCCTGTTCAAACCTGCCTCTGGACACACATTTTGGGTAATTAGGTTAAGGCAGCACATGGGTGACAGGCAGACCTCTCCTAGTGAAGCACTCCCTCCTGCACACTTTACTCTGGATACTGGGGCAGTCGAATAATTCGACGAATTTAGACCTGACTTTTGACTGCATTCTAGGTCATCGAGAGACGCTTGTTATGCTGATTTGAGATTGCTGCCGGTTATTATGGGGTTTGTATTTGGGCAGGAAGGGCTGTTCCCCGTTTATCTTCAAGTTGATTTTCTTCCTCACTGCTTTTATTGTGTTACAGGCAGTAGATACTTAAAGTTGTTTGAATGCTTCAGTCTGAGAGATGGCTTCGGTCTCACGGAGCGTGTGCTGTGCTACGTTGTCGGGATAATTCCTGTTCAACTGGCTACACGGAAGCGATACATCTTTATTATACATTTTTAAAGCCAGATAAAAAATTTGTTGAGGGTTGGTTTGTAAAGGACTACACACCTGTGCACATATTTATTCAAACGCGCAAGAAAATTTACACAATAACTTGATTCTAGAGCTGCTTTGATACTGTCTATACTGTTAAAAGCACTATATTAATGACGTGACTAACATGACTTGCTAACGTGATTTATTACTGTCATTTTGAGCCGGTGGTCTAGCACAACAAAACCGTCTTTGAGCAGCTTCAGTCTGTTAAAGTAACGAGGCTGTGAAAGAAGCTATTGTTACTTGTGCAGTAAACAGTCAGCTGGTCATTACTGCAAAATAAACCCAACAAGAGCCAGAATTAAAGATGGACTACCTTTATCTCACGTATTGCATGCATAATTGCCAAATAAGTAAGTAAGTGGGGATTTAAGTGTTTTTGAGTTTAAAATGATTTTATTAAATGGTCAAATATGCATCTGAAACGTCCTTTTGGTCCCAAAATGCTGTGTTTGACCAATCAAAATGATTCCAGTTCGTATAATAATAAAATTTAACTACCCTAAGTGATTAACAAGCGTAGGTTAGCATGCAGTGTCTTTGTGGTGGGCATTGTGATATGTTTTTATTTTTATTTCGTCCATTTAGTTCTATGTGATCGAGTATGCAGCCTGCGACGCCACGTACAACGAAATCGTCACATCGGAAAGAATCCGGCCAGTCAATCCCAACAGCCCCTCCTCTGAAAACTCCTTCTACAAAGTCCCTATTGCTGTACCCGAGGATCTCAGAGAAATGTAAGTCACATGTTCTGATGGTCCACTTTTTAATGTGTACACCTTATTAATGCAGTGGTTCTGTGGGGTCGCAGGTCTATCTGATGGGGTGACACACGGTAAAGGTTGCGTAACGTTCACATTTCAGCGATTTGGATTCTGCTTATCGATTCCAATATTGTTTTTGAAAAACATTCTTTTGCAGCTGAATGCCATTACTAAATCCTCAGCCTAAAGACACAGCTAATAAACTAGACTAACTGATATGCATTTCAAAAATTATTAAAGACAAGTGTACGGTCGAGAATACAAGAAGAAATAGTCAAATTAGCAATAGCACAAATAAATTAGGGCTGTGCAAAAATGAATTGCGATTAATCATATCCAAAATAAAAGTCTGAGTTTACATAATGTATTTGTGTGTGCTGTATATAATTATTTTGTATATATAAATACACACACATGTATGTATATATTTAAGAATTATTTGTGCTTAAATTCTGTATATGTATATAAATACATAATCTATATTAGATAAATATAAATATTTTATATACGAATAACACATTTTCTTAAATATATACATACATGTGTGTGTATTTATATATGCAAAATAATTATATACAGCACACACAAATATATTATGTAAACTCAGACTTTTATTTTGGATGCGATTAATCGCAATTAATTTTTGCACAGCCTTAAAATAAATACAACTGAACAAAGTTACTGCATAGTTTTACTTTCATAAATAAAATATAGATTTATCCTTGTTAAAGTTATTCAGTGAAGATCTGTGAGTGGTTTTCTTTTGATTAATAGTAATGACAAACGGCAGCAGGTTTATTGGGTATTAGTAGTGTTCATATTATATAAGAGGTGGCTTCTTGTGCCAGGCACAGAAAACGCGTGCCGAACTGAGTTCTTTCATGTCGTCTTGCGCTTTAATGGATTACAACCACATTGAAATGCACACACAAGAATCTGTGAGCAGAATTAGAACTAGAATTGGAATTGATATTCGATTCCCAACTTTATCTACAGCAGGGGGTAATGCTAAATGCGACTAAGTCATGCATAATTAGGGTGGACTTTTGTAACTTTTGAAATATTTATATTTTACTACAGTCCAAAATTTTGAAGTCAATATAAAAAAATAATTTATATAAGTGTATATGACAATTTATTATTAATTTCAATTACATCATATTATTTTGAACTTTCCATTCATCAAAAAACCCTTAAAAAATCTGGCTATTTCCATAAAAATATGAAACTGATGATAATCTGAAATCTGATTGCTGAAGGGTCATGTGACACTGAAGACTGGAGTAATGATGCAGCTTTGATCACAGGAATATTTTATATTGTAATATGTTACAGTTTTACTGTAATTTTTATCAAATGCTGCATTAGTGAGCATAAGAGGCGTATGACCTCAAACCTTTTCTGTATATTTTCTGTTCTGTTCACTTCCATCTTGCTTCCTCTAGTCTAAGCAGTATTTGGGTTTAAATTTGTGTGTCATTTTATCTCCAAATTAAGCCAATGTGAACAGATGATGCGACAATGCTTAAAAGCCATGAAAGAAAAAATATCTTTGAGTAAAATAAAATACAACCCAGGTTATATTAACTATATTAATCAGACCGACAGAACCATTGCTTTATTGATTTCGTACATTTTGGAATAATTGTTTTTCTTTTGAATGACGCAGCTGTTTAACTGAGAACATCCACAAAGACTTCAGGAAAGCAATCGGCGCCAACTGCATCTTCTACAACACCTCTACACACCAACTAATTGTCCTGGTCAGTGTTTTTCATTTTGCGCTTTTCAGAGATGTGCTCTGTTTGTGTCTGAAGGTGTTTGTCTGTTCCTCCACAGTCCACGAACGAGTCCACGGTGAAACGAGCATCTCTACTGAGTGACATGCACTTCCGGAGTATTCGCACCAAACTCATGCTGATGTCCCGTAATGAGGAGGCCACCAAACACTTAGAGGTTAGCAGATATGTGCATTTAAAAAATGTGCATTTTTTTTTTTTAGGACTACCATTTGTTACTCATTTTGCATTTAAATAGGTTAGCCTGTCCTAAACAACACAATGATCATAAAGATATAATAGCTGGTAGAGATTATTGCATTGATCGTTAACAGAAATGGTAGCATGGCATTTGTAAAATTGAGTAAATATTGAAAAAGACTTCAATGCGTTCATTAAATTTTATCATGTGTATATCACGATTATGTTTGGCAGCTTGGTCTGTGGATATAAGTTGAGCAATAGTTAACTTGATGTAGTTCTGGTCAAATACCAGTTCATGAAGTAAACAAACTGAAGCCTGTGCTTTTTTTATTTTGGGTAAGCAGATTTTTATTTTTTATTTTTTTCCTGAAGCGCCACAATTTGTGGAAGGAATTCCTCTGCAGTTCAAACTTTGTCCCCCTGTTGATTATTAGTGCAGTTTTCTTTCTTTTTTTGTGGTCATTATATGCATGTTCCAGTAAAAGTGATCCTGGTTACGCTAGAATGGTTTAATTAAACAGACATCCAGCTAAACATCTTTCAGTTGGCTGAGTAATGTTGTATTTTTAAAATTTTTTTTACTGTTCAAATTGCTACTTTGCTACATGCAAAGCACTTTGTGATTTTTATCTGTGAAAGGTGCTATATAAATGTGTGTTTTTGTGTGTGCCGCAGACAAGTAAACAGCTGGCGTCTGCGTATCAGGAGGAAGTGAGGGTGCGCGAGGATCTGATGGGTTTGGCCATCGGTTCTCACGGAGCCAACATCCAGCAAGCTCGAAAAGTTCCCGGCGTCACAGCCATTGAGCTGGAGGAAGAGAGCTGCACATTCAGGATCTACGGAGAGGTCCTCATCCTTTTTTTTTTTTTTTTTTTTTTAAGAGCTTTCTTTAGAGGTGTAACGATACATAAATTCGTACCAAAAAAGTTCAGTACGAGTCTTTCGGTTCGGTATGCATGTGTACTAAACGGATACACTATAAAATCTGGTGAAATATAATACTTAACGTATAACTTTGTTATAGCTACTTAATAAATATATTTGCTAGGGCTGTCAAAAGATTAATTGCGATTAATCGCATCCAAAAAAAAAAAGTTTGTTTTTACATACTTGTTTTTACTCATTTGAGAACTGCTGAAAACCGAGGTTATGGGGCCGTTCACATATCACGTCTTTAGCACGCTCAAGATCATTATTTAAAATGTAGGTGTGGCGAGAAACATCTCAACTTTTTCAGAATGCCACAAGCACTCAATTTTGCGTCTGAAATCGAGGTACATACTAAACTTTTATTTTTTTGTAGTTACACTTGTGCGGTTTTATAAAGATGCATGTAAGATGAGTGTTTTTAACGGGTTTTCTCTTTCTGTCT